TCCCTAGATTGATAACAGCAGAAGCCTGTTGGTTACTTAAAAAGGATGGAAAGAGTGTGACGCAAAGGAGGGGGAGATGCTAATAAGCCAGAGAGGAGAAGTCTCCAGTCGTCCGAGAGAGACTAACCGCAATGTAGCCTGTAAAATGGAAAACACCAGCTCTTCGTTTCCTGTTTAATGGAACATGCTAATAGTCCGAAGTCTTTGCAAATGACTGTGGAACTGTGTTTGGAGGGGATAAACAGGTCAGGACTGATTGGGTGAAGCAGGCCCCTTTGTGAAAACCATGTCTACATTTTCTATTTGAGATGATTTTAAGTCACAAGATGATTTTAGATACACATAGCTATTCATATGTAAAATCAGAGCATTTGAAACAAAGCTAAGGTCTCTTTAAGAATTAATCCCGCCCAGTCCTGGCTCCTCCCCTGTTTCCCAGAGACGGCCATGATCAGACCTGGCTGTGAGTTTAGCGTGTATCCATTTTTATTTTTTATTTTTTGGAAAACATATTTTTATTGATTTCAGAAAGGAAGGTTGGGGGAGAGAGATATAGAAACATCAGTGATGAGAATCATGGATCGGCTGCCTCCTGCACGCCCCCTACTGGGAATGGAGCCTGCAACCCAGGCATAGGCCCTTGACTGGGAATCGAACTGGCGACCTCCTGGTTCATAGGTCAATGCTGAACCAAGTCACGCCGGCCGGGCGGTACCAATGCTTTACAATATCTTGCTATCCTGCAGGTCAAATTCCCTCTCTTTTTCTTTTTCAAAATTATCGTGATTTACCATTCCATGTGGATTTGCAGTCAGCCTCATGTCCATGAAAATCCTGCTTGATTTGGTTCATATTGAATCTATAGATTAATGAGAGAATCATGACTCTCTTTACAATAAAGAGACTTCTTACCTATTACCCAGATTTATTTTTATGGATTTTGTGGTTTTGTCGTGTTGGGGTTTTTTTTGTAAAGCTTTGTAGTTTTTGCAAAGTGTTTTACACAGTTTAACTAACTGTATTCGTGGTTCCATCATAGCTTTATTTGCTGAAATGGGGTCTCTGTTCCCCGCCAGTGATTGGTAGCAAGGGAGCTATGGGTGCCCCATGATTCAAGCTTTCTCTCTTCCAAGCGAAACCCACTTCCTAGTCTAATCATTTCTCAGTTGACTCAGGTCACTGGTCAGCAAACTCATGAGTCCACAGAGCCACATATGAACAGCACAACGACTGACATGTCTTTGGAGAGCCACACTGTTTAAACTTAAACTCCTTCTAGCACCACTTCTTCAACATAGACTCGCCCAGGCCGTGGTATTTTGTGGAAGAGCCACACTCAAGGGGCCAAAGAGCCGCAGTTTGCCGACCGCGGACTCAGGTGGGTCCAAGTCCAACCTTCGTGGCTTCGCTCAGGATAAATTCAAAGTGACCGTGTACACGGTTAATTTTTAAGTGACTGATCACCGTCTAGATTTCTGAGTCACCAGCCTGGGCCTGTGGGGTACAAAGCACAGGAAATCCCTCTCAAGTGCCACCCCTGCCACGTGTGGTTGGTCTTTTAACTGCAAACGCAAAGCAGGTCTCCCCTCACTGACTTGAGTGAGTTGGATTTCAGGTGTTTTGTTTTTTTCTTTTTAATATATATATATTTTTTATTGATTTCAGAGAGGAAGGGAGAGGGAGAGAGAGAGAAACATCAGTGATGAGAGAGAAACATGGATCGACTGCCTCCTGCACGCCCCACACTGGGGACCGAGCCTGCAACCCCACCAGGGGCCCTGACCGGGAAAACAACCGTGACCTCCTGGTTCATAGGTTGATGCTCAACCACTGAGCCACACCAACGGGCCATGGGTTGATTCTTGTAAGTGCCCTGACCAGGGATTGAACCTGAAACCTTGGTGTATCAGGACGATGCTCCAACGGAGCCACCCAGCCAGGGCTTAGTGGGTAAATAATTCAAAGTAAGCTGGGCAAGTGATGTGTCATCTCCAGCACTAGATGGCTACTGACTGCCTAAGCGAGAAGTAGAGGAACCTTCTAGAATGATCTGTGCCTTAATCTATGTGTCAGAATGTTGTGCCCCATCAAACGGAGCAGGACTCAAAGCATCAGAAATGGTAATGTTTTACTTAAGTTTGTTAATCCTTTGGTTAACCTTTTTAGTTAACCTTTTATTTTTAAATATATATATATATATATATATTTTTTTTAAATTGATTTTTACAGAGAGGAAGGGAGAGGGATAGAGAACTAGAAACGTTGATGAGAGAGAAACACCGACCAGCTGCCTCTTGCACATCCCCTACCGGGGATGTGCCCGCAACCAACATACATGCCCTTGACTGGAATTGAATCTGGGACCTTTCAGTCCGCAGACCTACGCTCTACCACTGAGCCAAACCGGTTTCGGCAGTTTGTAAATATATTTTTTATTGCTTTCAGAGAGGAAGAAAGAGGGAGAGAGAGAGAGATAGAAACATCCATGATGGGAGAGAATCATGGATCAGCTGCCTTTTGCAAGTCCCTCACTGGGGATCGAGCCCACAACCCCAGGCATGTGCCCTTGACCAGAATCGAACCTGGGAACCTTCAGTTCACAGGCCGACACTCTATCCACTGAGCCACACCGGCCAGGGCTCGGTTAACCTTTTTGGAATACATCACGGTTATACATTCGAGGGAAAGCATGAATGCTTAACCAGGCAACGAAAGAACATCTTGCATTCTAAAACATGCGTCTTCCTCCCACTAGGACACGCATCAAACTCTGTGATAAATTACAGTGTGTTTAAAGATTAAATGGTCTCCCCGCCTGCGTCCCCTCCCTGCTCTGTTCTCCCCTCCACGCAGCTGCCAGGCTAATCCTCCAAAAACACCAATTTTCACGTGCCACTTCTCCAAACCGTACTTCCCATCTCCCTGGTGCCTGAAACATCATGTCCAATGCTTTTGACTTCAAATGCATACAGACTCCAGGTTTTGGTTACTTGCTAAAGTAGCACCAACGGCCGAAACCGGTTTGGCTCAGTGGATAGAGCGTCGGCCTGCGGACTGAAGGGTCCCAGGTTTGATTCCGGTCAGGGGCATGTACCTTGGTTGCGGGCACATCCCCGGCAGGGGGTGTGCAGGAGGCAGCTGGTCAATGTTTCTCTCTCATTGATGTTTCTAGCTCTCTATCCCTCTCCCTTCCTCTCTGTAAAAAAATCAATAAAATATATTAAATAAATAAATAAATAAAAATAATAAAGTAGCACCAGCTCATGGTGACAGGTGTGTGAGTGAAATGCAACGTCTGATTCCATGGTCACCACGTCTGCAAGCCCCGTTTTTGGGAAAAGGACAACAGGAGGTCCCAGAACAGCATGGCCAGGGCTGCAGGAAACTGACCACGTGATTCCGAGATCCATGCATATGAGGTGCTGTCGAGAGATGTTGAAAATGTCCATGGTAAAGAGTGTTTTTAAAACACCCCGAGCAGCAATAAGAGGAGAAGCAAGGAGGTGCAGTGTGATAGCAAATAGGTTGTGTCAGACCCCTTTGGGAACTCCGGTGCCTAAAAATTATTTTTAAATTACTTTTTCTTTTCAGTTGTCGCAATAATAGCTTCCGTTTGCATTATACTTTACTAGAGGCCCAGTGCACAAAATTCGTGCTATGGGGAGGGGGGTCCCTCAGCCTGGCCTGCACCCTCTCGCAGGCCAGGAGCCCTCAGGGGTTGTCAGACTGATGGCGTAGGCCTGCTCCCCCTAAGCCGTCAGTTGGACACTGCTGCAGAGGTTGAAAAGGCTCTCCCTACCGTCCTGGACTCACCAGCTGTGATCCCAAGTTCTGGCTGAGCAGCACTCCCCCTGAGGGAGTGCACGGACGACCAAGGGGCAGTTCCTGTATTGAGCATCTGCCCCCCCCCCCGGTGGCCATTGTGTGTCATAGCAACTGGTCTTTCTGTCATTCGGTTGATTTGCATATTAACCTTCTATTACATAGGATAGTTTACACAGCCCGTGGGGAAAATAAAGGTAATTGTGGGTATGGTTGCAATTCATAAGAAAGGCGGTACAATGAAATGGAATGAAAGGGAATAAAAATCCATGTTTATATCCAGTCTTTCTTTTAAAAAAATTAATGCCCGGCCAGCATGGCTCAGTGGTTGAGCGCCGACCTATGAATCAGGAGGTCATGGTTCGATTCTGGGTTGCAGGCTCAGTCCCCAGGAAGGGGTGTGCAGGTGGCAGCCAACCAATGATTCTCTCTCATCATAGATGTTTCTATCTCTCTCTCCCTCTCTGAAATTTAAAAAAAAAAAATGCATATTTTAAAAACGAACCTTAAGATGCATTTCTGCCACTTACCTTCTATTTGACATAAGAGCCCAGCCAGTGTGGCTCAGTGGTTGAATGTCGATCTTTGAACCAGAAGGTCAGGGTTCGATTCCCAGTCAGGGCACATGCCTGGGTTGTGGGCTCGATTCCCAGCATGAGGCTTGCAGGAGGCAGCCGATCCATGATTCTCTCTCATCCTTGATGCTTCTATCTCTCTCTCCCTCTCCTTCTCTGAAATCAATGAGTATGTGTATATATATATATATATATATATATATATATATATATATATATTTAAGGAATGGGAGCAATATAAAGATGGAATAACTAGTTTAGAGCTTTCAAAAGCAAACCAGTTCTAGAGCGAGGCTCCGTTTCCTCAGCTTGGGCTGCTCATCAGATAGCCCGGCCTGATAAGCAGCCGCGGTGACACTTCCATAAATGAGAGGCCTGCAGCAGGAACCACACACCCAGCCTCGGCACCGATTCTCAGAGAAAACACTCAGAAAAGAATTTCCCTGCTCACCAGAGGGCGGACGGAGAGGAAGTGGGTTCCCCCACCCCCAAATTTCCCCGGGGAAGCGTCCCTCTGGACGGCATTTCTCTCCGGAGACACGGGTCGGGCGCCTCATGCCTTCGTAGCACGTTTCGGAGGAGAAAGCCCATCGGGAGAGGGCCATGGGCGTCTGGACCACCCGGCCAGGCCCGGGACGCCAGGACGGTACGTGGACCTGCGGTGCTTGCCTGCGGTGCTCATCGGAGCTGAGGTTTTAGCGAGAGGCGGCTCCTTTTCAAGGACCTGTTCGTATTGTGCACTAAGCCCTGGCCGGTGTGGCTCAGTGGATAGAGCGTTGGAATGCGGACGGAAGGGTCCCAGGTTCGATTCAGGCCAAGGGCACCTGGCTTCGGGCTTGATCCCCAGTGGGGGGTGTTCGGGAGGCAGCGATCAATAATTCTCTCTCATCATGCAGCTTAAAAATATTTTTTATGGATTTCAGAGAGGAAGGGAGAGGGGAAGAGAGAGAGAAATATCAATGATGGCCGAAACCGGTGTGGCTCAGCGGATAGAGCATCGGCCTGCGGACTCAAGGGGTCCCAGGTTTGATTCCGGTCAAGGGCATGTACCTTGGTTGCGGGCACAACCCCAGTAAGGGGTGTGCAGAAAGCAGCTGATGGATATTTCTCTCTCATCGATATTTCTGACTCTCTGTCCCTCTCTCTTCCTCTCTGTGAAAAATCAATACAATATATATTTTTAAAAAGAAATATCCATCCAGGACCGGTGTGGCTCAGTGGATAGAGCGTCGGCCTGCGGACTGAAAGGTCCCGGGTTCGATTCTGGGCAAGGGCATGGACCTTGGTTGCGGGCACATCCCCAGTGGGGGGGGGGTGCAGGAGGCAGCTGATGGATGATTCTCTCTCATCGATGTTTCTAACTCTCTATCTCTCTTCCTCTCTGTGAAAAATCAATTAAAAATATTGAAAGAAAGAAAGAAAGAAAGAAAGAAAGAAAGAAAGAAAGAAAGAAAGAAAGAAAGAAAGAAAGAAAGAAAGAAAGAAAGAAAGAAAGATAGATCCATGATGAGAGAGAATCATGAATTAGCTGCCTCCTGCACGCCCCACACTGGGGATCCAGCCAAAACCAGGCAGGTGCCCTGACCGGGAATGGAATGGTGGCCTCCGGGGTCCCAGGTGGACGCTCAGCCCCTGGGCCGGGCCGGGCGGGTCTGTGCGGGCTGTGAGGGCGGTGCCCCCGCTGCTGGGACCTGGGCGCACCGGGCAGGCGCGCGGGCGGGGAGGATGGCGAGGCTCGGGGGGCGCACAGGGCACCCCGACCGGCCCCGCCGCTGCAGGAGGGACCCAGGACCGCGGCTGAGGGGTTCCCCTAGGTGCCGGAGCAGGAAGTGAGCGCGAGGAGGAGCCAGGAGGAGGAGGAAGGAGGAGGAGAAGGAGGAGGAGGAGCAGCAGCGGGAGGGAGCCGGGCTGGAGGAGGGGCGCAGCCGGCGTGAGCCCCGCGCGCCCCGATCGCAGGCTCCGCGGTCCCCGCCGCGCGCTCCTCCCGCCCGGAGGCTGCGGGGTCCCCCTCAGCGCCGTCTCCCCATCCGCCTGCCCCTCCCATGGCTTCGCCGGAGGACCCCCTGCGCGCAGGTAACGGGGCGCCGCGCCGCGCTCACCTGGGGCGGTGGTTGGGGCCCGAGTCCCGGGGACCCACGAGGGGCGCCCGGCCCGGGGCCTCGCGGGGCCGATCGGGGACCTTGGCACGAGGTCTCACCCCCCCATCCCGTACCCCGATCTCTGCCCCGGGCGCGCCTTCCGCCCCCTCCGCGCCCGCCGCCCCGCGCTTTTGTCTGCGCTCCTGCCCCGCGCCCGCCAGGTTGGGACAAGTCCTCCGGCGCCGCGGAGAGGAAGGTGGATTCCCCCGCCCGGCCTCTCCCTGCCTCCCTCTCCCAGGCCTCCTGGCTCCTCCGCCGCTCAGGTCACTTGTGCTAAATGGGCTTGGTCTACATCAGTGTTTCCCAAACTTTTGGCATAGGTGTGCCCCATCTATAATTTTCCTAACGCCGAGTCCCCCTCGTGCTCATGAGAACGCAGAATGAGGCGCAGCTAAGCACGGTGCAGTGCCTGTCCCCACCGAACTCCGGTGCAACGCGTACCCCCACCGAATTCTTCCCGTACCCCTGGGGGTATGCACACCACACTTTGGGAAACACTGTTAGGGCCCTCGAGCTATTGCATGCACACCAGCGTCTCCAAAACAAGAGCCTGCTCCACCTGGGGGGACCCTACCTACGGGTGGGGTGGGGTGTCTCTGATTAGATGGGCCTCTAGTCCTGTCCTTGCTGTAAAACACTGTCTAGCCCTGGCCGGTGTGGCTCAGTGGCTAGAGCGCGAGCTTGCGGACCGAAGGTGTCCCTGGAGGTGTCCCGGGTTCGATTCCTGTCAAGGGCACGTGCAGTGGGCAGCCAGTCGCTGTGCTGTCTCTCTTTCTGTCTCTCCCTCTCCTCTCTCTTCCACTCTCTCTAAAAATCAGTGGGGGAAACTCTGGAGAGGATGAAAAAGTGTATATATATATATATATATATATATATATATATATATATATACACACACACACACACACACACACACACACACACACACACACTGTGTGTGTGCCTGCTAGGAAGGCCAGAGTCTGAAGGTTCTCCAATCTCACTTGGAATTTCTTTCTTTTAAAAAATAAATTTTACATATATATTATTTTTTACAGGGAGGAAGGGAGAGGGATAGAGAGCCAGAAACATCCATGAGAGAGAAACATGGATCAGTTGCCTCCTGCACACCCCCCACTGGGGATGTGCCCGCAACCAAGGCACATGCCCTTGACCGGAATCGAACCCGGGACCCTTCAGTCCCCAGGCTGACGCTCTACCCACTGAGCCGCACCGGCCAGGGCCCCCCTCGCACTTTTGAAAAATGTCCACACGGTGCTGCCTCTGGAGCTTGGCAAATGGCCGCTCCCCTTCCCCACCCCTCCCTGGGCTTCCGTCCTCTCCCGCCTCGTTTCCCAGCTCAGCTCCCACGTGTGCCTTCCGCCAACCCATTCGCCAAGCGGTGGTCACAGCGACCTTTTCTTTTAAAAAATTGATTTCAGCCGAAACCGGTTTGGCTCAATGGATAGAGCATCGGCTTGGGAACTGAAAGGTCCCGGGTTCGATTCCGGGCAAGGGCATGTACCTTGGTTGCAGGCATATCCGCAGTAGGGGACGTGCAGGAGGCAGCTGATGGATGACTCTCTCTCATCCATGTTTCTAATTCTCTATCCCTCTCTCTTCCTCTCTGTACAAAATCAATAAAATATATTTTTAAAAAATTGATTTCAGAGAGGAAGGGAAAGAGAGAGAGAGAGAGAGAGAGAGAAACCTCAATGATGAGAGAGAATCCTCGATCACTGGGGATGGAGCACGCAACCTGAGCATGTGCCCTTGACCGGGAATCAAACCGTGACCTCCTGAGTCATAGGTCAGTGCTCAAGCCATGCTGGCCGTGCATCTCCTATTATTCTCATAAAAAGCACAAAAGGTACCTGGCCAGTGTGGCTCAATGGATAGAGCGTCAGCCTGCAGACTGAAGGGTCCTGGGTTCGATTTCAGTCAAGGGCACATGCCTGAGTGTCAAGCTCCATCCCCAGTGTGGGGAATAAAGGAGGCCAGCAATCAATGATTCTCTCTCATCATTGATGTTTCTCTCTCTCCCTCTCCCTTCCTCTCTGAAATCAATAAAAATATATATGTATAAAAAAAAAATTCAGCCGGGACCGGTTTGGCTTAATGGATAGAGCGTCGGCTTGGGGACTGAAGGGTCCTGGGTTCGATTCCGGTCAAGGGCATGTACCTTGGTTGCGGGCATATCCCCAGTAGGGGGTGTGCAAGAGGCAGCTGATCGATGACTCTCTCTCATCGATGTTTCTAACTTTCTATCTCTCTCCCTTCCTCTCTGTATAAAATAATAAAATATATTTTTTTAAAAAATCCAAAAAGCCCCCACCCTGTGGACTCCAGATGCTGGGAATTTGGGAAATGGACTCGTTTCCGTCTTTGTTTTCTCTGAAAAGACGCCATTTGAGCAGATCCTTGAATGTCCTTGAAGACAATGTGTAGGAACTGTTGACCTTGAGATGTGGGTCTTAGAGAGGAGGATGAGTAGATGAGATGGTGCATTTAGGGTTGATGCTGGGCCCACCCGGCGTGGCTCCGTGGTTGAGTGTTGACCTAGGAACCAGGAGGTCACGGTTCGATTCCCAGTCAGGGCACAGGCCCGGGCTGTGGGCTCCATCCCCAGAGAGAGATTCTCTCTCATCATGGATGCTACTCTCTCTCCCTGTCCCTTCCTCTCTGAAGTCATTAAAAGTATCATTTAAAAAATAAAATAAATTTTAAAAATAAAATTAATAATAAAAAAAAACAACACATCCTCGACTAAGGATTAAAAATAAATTTCAAAAAGATTCTGTGAGATATTTTTGTTAATCGTCACCTGAGGATATTTTCCCATTGATTTTTAGAGAGAGTGGAAGCGGGCAGGGGAGAGACACACAGAGAGAAACATCGATGTGAGAGACACACATCGGTACCCCAACCAGGCCGGGGATTCAGCCTGCAACCTGGAATGGAACTCGGGACCCTTCGGTCCTCAGGCCAACGCTCCATCCGATGAGCCAAACCAGCTACGGCCTGTGAGGATGTTTGACTTGAATAGTTCACCTGAACCACATTCAGACACTTAATATTTTATTTACTTATTTTTTAATTTTTAAAAAATATTTTTTCTGTTGATTTCAGAGAGCAAGGGAGAGGGAGAGGGAGATAGAAAATCAATGATGAGAGAGAACCACTGATCGGCTGCCTCCTTTCCACTCCCGACTGGGGATCGAGCCCACAACCTGGGCGTGTGCCCCAACCAGCATTGAACCTGGGACTCTTCAGTCCCCAGGCTGATTCTCTATCCACTGAGCCAAACCAGCCAGGGCGACGCTGAATATTTTAATATGATAAAAACAGATCGCAGAGGGGCAGGAAACGGGAGGAAGCAGGAGCCGAACTCACTAACTCCTGCTTGAGGTCCTTTTAATCGGATTCAGCAGGAGGGCCGTCCGGGCCATGCCTGCGTGGTTTGTGGTTATTTGTAACTCTGAGTGTTTGTAGATACTTATCCATAAATCGTTAAAAAAAAAAAAAAAGTAAAGATAAAGATGATGAACAACAAATACATATCTATCAACAAGTGAATCTAAAAGTCAAGCGAATTAATAATCTGAGGAACAGAATCCACTGGTGAATAGAATAGAATCAGGGGCATAGAAGGGGAGGGGATTGATCATTCTCAGGGGGAAAGGGGTGTCTTTGGGGGGTGGTACAGAAGAGATTGGACAAAAATCATAGACCTATGGATGAGGACGGGGTGGGGGGAGGTAAGGGCAGAGGGTGGAGTGGGGACCAGATGGAGGGGAACTATGGGAGGGAGGGGGAGAGAAACAATTGTAATAATCTGAACAATAAAGATTTACTAAAAAATTTGCAGCAACCTGGATGGAATGGGAGAACATCACGCTGAGTGAACTAAGCCAGTCCGTGAAAGAGAAACACCACATGACCTCACTCATGTATGGATAATAAAGGACATTATAAACGGATGAACCAAAAAGATAGATACAGAGGCAGTAAAGCAACAAGCAGACTGTCCAGTGACAGCAGGAGGGGAGGGAGATCTGGGGGAGATAAGAGATCAACCGAAGGACTTGTGTGCATGCATAGAAGCATAACCAACGGACACAAAACTCTGGGGAGGGTGGGTATGTATGGGGGGGGGCAATGGTAAAATATGTACACAGATAATAATTTAATTTAAAAAAAAGTAAGAGAAAAAAGAAAAGAAGAGAAGAAAAAAAAAAGTCTGTCTTTTCTCCTCCTGGTGCAGCCGGAAGCTGCCCCTCTCATGGTGTCTCTGCTGGCGTGACCGAGGCGTGAAGACGGTCATGAGAGGACACGCGTGCTTTTCCACTAACGAGCTTCTCCCGCTTGTGTTTCTCTGCAGCCCGCGTGGCCGCGGAGCCCGTGGAGGACACGGACCCCAGCACGCTGTCCTTCCACGTGGTAGGTCCCACGCTTCCCGCCTTTTCCCCATCGCCACGTCTTCACGTTTTTTATTTTATTTATTGATTGATTTTTTATATATAGTTTATTCATTTTTTCTTTTTTTTTACAGAGAGGAAGGGAGAGGGATAGAGAGTTAGAAACATTGATGAGAAAGAATCATCGACCAGCTGCCTCCTGCACACCCCCTACTGGGAATGTGCCCACAACCAAGGTACATGCCCTTGACCGGAATCGAACCCGGGACCCCTTAGTCTGCAGGCCGACTCTCTATCCACTGAGCCACACCGGCCAGGGCTACAGGCTCCTCTTTGTAAACCAGGAAGTAGGGGGAAGCCAGCTCTGTGGACAGGGGAGGAAGTGTGTGCCGGGGTCAGAGCTGAGGGAGCTCGGAAGGCTTGTTCTGCCTCCTGTCCCAACACCAGCTTCTCATCAGCCTTGCTCTGTGACTCAGTGGCTGAGCGTCGACCTAGGAACCAGGAGGTCAGGGTTCGATTCCCGGTCAGGGCACATGACAGGGTTTTGAGCCCCATCCCCAGTGTGGGGCGTGTGCAGGAGGCAGCTGATCCATGATTCTCTCTCTCATCATGGATGTTTCTCTCTCTCTCTCTCTCTCTCTCTCTCTCTCTCTCTCTCTCTTCCTCTCTGAAATCAATACAAAAAGAATACAAACAGGCTCTGGGTCAGCCTGAAGGAGAAGTCCAAGGCTAAACACATGCAAGGCTTTAAATTAAAATCGTGACTTTCGCCGAAACCGGTTTGGCTCAATGGTTAGCGCGTCGGCTTGCGGACCGAAAGGTCCCGGGTTCGATTCCGGTCAAGGGCACATACCTTGGTTGCGGGCACATCCTCAGTGGGGGGGTGTGCAAGAGGCAGCTAATCGATGATTTCTCTTATCGATGTTTCTAGCTCTCTATCCCTCTCTCTACCTCTCTGTAAAAACATCAAAATATATATTTTAAAAAATTTAATAAAATCGTGACTTTTGCAAAACAGAGCTTTCTCTTGGCTGTGACCGTGTGTATCGGTGACTGCGATGTTTAAAGCTAACTCTCCTCTCCTGTTGGTTTCTGCAGTCCGACAAGTACCCCATTCAGGACACGGGACCCCCTAAAGGTACGTACCATTACTGCGGCTGCTCCAACTGGTGGTGGTTTAATATCGTGAACAAAGCGCTAGCCCAAGCGATGTTTCATTATTTAAGATTGTGAGACAGACATGCCAGTCATTGTGTTCATGGCGTCTTTGCTGCTTATCTCAGGCATGAGTTTTCTTTGTTGTTGTTGTTGTTGTTGTTTTTAAATACGTTTTTAATGATTTTTACAAGAGAGGAAGGGAGAGAGATAGAAATGTCCATGAGGAGAGAGAGTCACGGATCGGCTGCCTCCCGCACGCCCCACGCTGGGGATCGATCCCCCAACCCGGGCATGTGCCCTTGACTGGACTAGAACCCGGGACCTTTCAGTCCACAGGCCAAAGCTCTATCCACTGAGCAACACCGGCCAGGGTGAGCCCTCCTTTGGTAACCGAACCGGCTTTCCTGTGGTTTGGGTGGAAGTCACTGTATGCCCTCGCCACCCACTCACCCCCCTCCCTCCCTCCAGGCCCAGCCGGGGCCAGAGCCCTCCAGCCTCCCGCTGATCACACCTGATTCCGGTGAAGGCGCATTCGCTCATTAAAATCGACCCTCTCCACCATGAGAGGTCAGGTTCCCACGGTGTTTCTAACCTGGAGAGGCCCGGGACTCTGGGTGGCACGTGACAGAAATCGAACTCAAGTTCATTTAAAAAGGGGGAGAGATTGCCGAAACCGGTGTGGCTCAGTGGGTAGAGCGTCGGCCTGCGGACTGAAGGGTTCCGGGTTCGATTCCGGTCAAGGGCAGGTACCTTGGTTGCGGGCACATCCCCAGTCCGGGGTGTGCAGGAGGCAGCTGATCGATGATTCTCTCTCTCATCGATGTCTCTAACTCTCTATCCCTCTCTTCCTCTCTGTAAAAAATCAATAAAATATATATTTTTAAAAAGAGGATGGTGGGGGGGGGAGAGATGATTGGCTTAAGGCCTTGGGGTGCCACTAGCTCCCCGCATTGGCCCGAGGCTCTGGCTGCCTCTCTCCCTCCCTCTCTCCCTCTGGGTCTTCTGTCCCGGCAGCAGGCTTTCCCCACGGGGGTGGTCATCGGGTCCCTGACACCCCCAGTTTCCCCTGCTGCTGCTCACGGGGGGGGGGGGGGGCGAGAGGGGCCTCCCCCAGCACCCACAGCCAGTTTCAGGGCCAGCGGTGCCAGGAGCCGTGTGGTCTTGTGGTCAGCGGGGCAGGTGTGGTCGGCCACAGGCTGGGCCTGCAGGGAGCGGGGTGCTGGATGGGGAGGGTTTACCGTGACTTCCACCCAAACCACAGGAAAGCCGGTTCGGTTACCAAAGTAGGGGTGCTTGTCAGGCCCCTGAGTAGAAATCCTTGCCCACAGGCAGGTGCTTGGGGGTGCAGATGGCAGAGGGGCCAGGCCGCTCCCTTCCCCGAGGCCGAGCTGCCCGCGGCCCCCCAGGAGGGAGCGAGGCCCTGGGCTCGGTGGCTCCCCGGAGTGGGGGGGAGAGGGATGATAGATCTGACCACCTTCGGGGCCCCTCCTGCCCCCGCTTCCTGGGGGGAGGCTTCCCGGCAGACGGGGTGGGGTTCCCAGCAGAGCCTGCATCACAGGGGGGCACCGCGGGGTCACGGGGTGGGCGGGAGCTCTGCCAGGTGTCCCCCCCTCTCCGTCCCCGCTCACTAGGCTCCCCCCTCTGCTCCCCGGAATCACACGCTGTATCCGGGTGCCTGCCGGGGGCGTCCCGGGAATGGCAGGGGTGAGGGAGGGAGGGCCACGTGTGAGCCTGGCCCCGGGCTCTGAGGGGGCTCTGGCGGGCGCACCCCTGCCTCTCCAGGGAGGACTCTGGGTGTTTGACCCCCCACTCCGGGGTGGGGTTCTCTGGCTCCCAGGCACGGGCAGGGCGCAGACCTGGGTGGCACCCAGGGGATAACCAGATCAAGAGTCCTCTGGGGAGTTTACATTTCATTTTATTTTATGTGATTTATATATTTTTATTTTTTTAAAAAAATATGTTTTTATTGATGTTTTATAGAGAGAAAGGGAGAGAGATAGTTAGAAACATTGATGAGAGAGAGATATCGACCAGCTGCCTCCTGCACCCTCCCCTCCCCCCCCCACTGGGGATGTGCCCGCAACCAAGGTACATGCTCTTGACCGGAATCGAACCTGAGACCTTTCAGTCCGCAGGCCAACGCTCTATCCACTGAGCCACACCGGTTTCGGCTATATATTTTTCTTGATATCCGAGAGGAAGGGAGAGGGAAAGAGACAGAAACATCAATGAGAGAAAATCATCGATCGGCTGCCTCCAGCACACTCCACACTGGGGTTGGAGCCCGCAACCCGGGCCTGTGCCCTGGTCGGGAATCAAATTGTGACCTGCTGGTTCCTAGGTGGATGCTCAACCACTGAGCCACCTCAGCTGGGCTCACTGTTTTTTTGTTTGTTTTGTTTTTTAAATATATTTTATTGATTTTTTATAGAGAGGAAGATAGAGGGATAGAGAGTTAGAAACATCGATGAGAGAATCATCAATCAGCTGCCTCTTGCACACCCCCACTGGGGAGGTGCCTGCAACCAAGGTCCATGCCCTTGACCGGAATCAAACCTGGGACCCCTCAGTCCACAGGCCAATGCTCTATCCACTGAGCGACACCGGTTGCGGCCTGTCCCTCTTTTTTTTTTTTCTTTTTTTTTTTGTTACAGCTGCAAAGTATTCCATAGTCTAACTGTCTCAGCTTTGCTACCCGATCCTCTGCTGATGGACACGTGGGCTGGCTTAGCTATCGGTAAATGACTGGGGGGTTTGTTTCAGGTTCAGATCTGGGCCCTGCTACCAGAAATCATGATGGGGGGCGCGGTGTGGGGGGTCTGGGGTCAGGCCAGGGAGCCTGCAGGCTAACACTTACCTGAGGGCCGGACTGAGAAGCTGCAGGACTGGGTGTGCCCGCGGCCAGGCCCGGCGGAGGGAGAGGGAGAGCAGAGCTCGGCCACGCCAGCCTGAGCGGATCCAGCGGTGACGGCAGGCCTCAGTTCCCCTGTAGAGCAGAGAGGACACGTTAGCATCCGCCTCCTAGGATGCGTGTGTGTGTGTGTGTGTGTGTGTGTGTGTGTGAGAGAGAGAGAGAGAGAGAGAGAGAGAGAAAGAGAGAGAGAGAGAGAGAAGTGCGTGGACCGAGTCTGGACAGTGCCTGACACACGCAAGCATCGGACGGACGGACGGACGGACGGAATCTGGCAAAAGAATTGTGCTGCCTGGCTGGTGTTGCTCAGTGGGTTGAGCATCGACCTGTGAACCCCTAGGAGGTTGAGGTTAGATTCCTGGTCAGGGCACAGGCCCGGGTGGCGGGCTCCATCCCCAGGGTGGGGCGTGCGGGAGGCAGCCCATCCATGATTCTCTCCCATCATTGATTAAAAAAAAAAAAATACATTTTATTGATTTTTTTTTTTTTACAAAGGGAAAGGGAGAGGGATAGAAAGTTAGAAACATCCATCAGCTGCCTCCTGCACACCCCCTACTGAGGGGATGTGTCTGCAACCAAGGTCCATGCCCTTGACCGAAATCGAACCCGGGACCGTTCAGTCCGCAGATCAATGCTCTATCCACTGAGCCACACCAGCGTGGACATCATCATTGGTATTTTTATCTATCCCTCTCCCTTCCTCTCTGAAATGAAAAATATATTTTTTATAAAAAGGAATGGTGCAGCCGAAACCGGTTTGGCTCAGTGGACAGAGCGTCGGCCTGCGGACTGAAAGGTCCTGAGTTCGATTCCGGTCAAGGGCAGGTACCTTGGTTGAGGGCACATCCCCAGAGAGGGGTGTGCAGGAGGCGGCTGATCGATGTCTCTTTCTCATCGACGTTTCTAGCTCTCTATCCCTTTCCCTTTCTCTCTGTAAAAAATCAATAAAATATATTAAAAAAAAAAAAAAAAGGAATTGTGCCAATCAATGCCGGGGACTGTCAGAGCAGCAGAGAGGGGGGCCGTTCTAGAAAAAGCCTGAGCCGCAGGGGCTCCCGGAATGCACCGTCAGGGTCGCCTCTCTCTGCGGGTCTCTGTCAGCCTTGAAGAAGTTTCCTGTTTTGAAAGAGCAAGATTGTTGCTTAGCAACCTGATCCTGCAGCGATGGTGCTGCTGGGTTTCTCCTAGAATCTGAGTTTTGCAAAACCTTCACGAAGGTGGTGATGAGTTGGCAAATACGGTGGCTGTGGCACGTACACACGGTCTGCCTTCCGAGTGGCGAACGGGGTTGCCAGGCGCAGGGTTTCTTATCGCCAAAGACATACATCATCGGAGAGGTCATGAACCAGGCCAGACGTTTAAACGCTTACTCCAAAATTTGCATCCAATAATTGAACAATTTAATGTCTACTAGTTTTTTTAACACACACACACACACACACACAGACACACACACACACATATGTTGTTTTCAGACAGGAGTGGGAGAGAGAGAGGGAAACATCCATGATGAGAGAGAACCATGGATCGGCTGCCTCCTGCACGCCCCACCCTGGGGATGGAGCCTGCAGCCTGGGCCTATGCCCTGACCGGGAATGGAACCGTGACCTCCCAGGTCAACGCTCCACCACTGACTCCACATTTTAAAAAATATATATTTTATTGATTTTTTTACAAAGAGGAAGGGAGAAGGATAGAGAACTAGAAACATCGATGAGAGAGAAACACCCACCAGCTGCCTCCTGCACACCCCTCAGTGGGGACGTGCCCGCAGCCAAGGTCCATGCCCTTGACCGGAATCAAACCTGGGACCTTTCAGGCCGCAGGCCGACGCTCTATCCACTGAGCCACACCGGTTTTGGCTGACCCCACATTTTGAGGGGAAAATGTCTCGGGTCTTTCCCCTCTCTGTGCTTCCTACTACCACCGAGCTCTGTGTCTGTCTTTCCAGTGGAGGAATGTGATCCAGTTCCTTTGAGCGGCCGGACGAGCCCTGACGTGCACCCTCAGGTGAGGATAACGCCAGTTATATTTCTACTCTCCGGTGTGCCGACCCGGAGTGCTTAAGGAATGGCCTTGTCTCTGGAATGAACACACAGCCCAGCTAGCATGGCTCCGTGATTGGGTGGGCATCGACCTAGGAACCAGGAAGGTGGGCGTGCTCCTTGGATTTCCCTCCGGGTGGCTGCTGTGTGTCTAATCGGCGGGATGGGCTCCAGCGGCTGGAGGGCCAGGCAGGCTCTTAGAAACCAGCTTGGCAGCCAGAACAAAGGGCGCTCACCAGGCGACAGACGTTTAAGACGAAACAAAACACACACACACACACACACACACACACACACACACACACACACATAAAACCCTCCCTGTGGCTCGGGAAGTAAAAGCCAACGGAAAACATGCTCCTTGGAACATCACGGGTATTCGCTCTTTTCGTGACTTAAAGTCGGTAGCTTCAAGAGCAAGAGTCTTGTTTGAGTGATGCCCAGAGAGGGCATTTGGGGCCGAACAGGGCAGTCTGACATGTCAGACAAGGTTTCATCAAGAACCCTTTCCTGGTAGGGATTTGAAGTCAGTACCCACCCCCTAGGGCCAGACCTCTCCCCTGGTTTATTCCAGCTGGTACTGGCTGGGCGTGGGTGCCCTCGGACATTAAAAGAGCCAGAGGGATTGCCACGGTAGCTCCGTGGTTGAGCGTCGACCTAGGAACCAGGAGGTCACGGTTTGATTCATGGTCAAGGGCAGATGCCCGGGTTGTGGGCCCCATCCCCAGTAGGGGGCGTGCAGGAGGCAGCCGATCCATGCCTCTCTCTCATCTGATAACATCTCCGTTCCTGCTTGGGTGTGACGGTGGTTTTTTGGTTTCCAGGGAGAAGAAAACGGCTTTGCAGACACACCCGGAGATCCCCTCACAGGTAAACGTGTTGAGAGCTAATTCTCTCTCCCCCCTCCCCCTCGCTAACATGTGAAATATCAGCTGACCTGAAGGCGAATCAAGTAAGTGGTGTACGACCACCTAGGAACCCTGCACGAGTTAAGGTCACTATTAATGGATAGGGTAACCTTATTTTTATTTTTTAATATATTTTATTGATTTTTTTACAGAGAGGAAAGGAGAGGGAGAGAGAGCTAGAAACATCGATGAGAGAGAAACATCGATCAGCTGCCTCCTGCACACCCCCCCTGGGGATGTGCCCGCCACCAAGGTACATGCCCTTGACCGGAATCGAACCCGGGACCTTTCAGTCCGCAGACCGACGCTCTATCCACGGAGCCACATCGGTCAGGGTGCGAGGATGACTTTTCAAGGGACAGCAGGGCACACCATTGCGAGCAGACAGGTAGCGCCATCCCTCTGCCAGCCTGCCCAGTGCTGCCCCGTTCTCCCCCGCCCTCCCCACCCCCCCAGCATTGCTGTCTCCTTAAAAGGCTGTTTGAGAGAAAATGAAGTCTTTCCTGTTGGTGGGGATCCAGCGCCCACCCACAGCCCCGGGGCCAGTTTCCTCGTGGGTGAAAAATAATAGTCCGTTTTCCAGCTCCTAGCATTTAGCGACCTCTGACGAAAATGTGTGGGTGTGGGTGTGTGTGTGTGTGTGCCCCAATGTCACCAAAGCCATAACCTGGGCTTTGACATTCACTTCCAACCACATGGGCGACCACACGGAGAGACCGAGGTGAGTGTGCACCCGAATCCACATCTCTGTGGCCGGGTTCGACTCCCCCGGGGCAGGCCGGGGCGGTGCAGGCTCCGGATTCGATCCTCCTGCCCCGAGCTCACTCCAGGACCCGGGGTTTTGCTGTGGGCAAAGGGGCCACTGTGACAGGCTTCCTGTCTGACTGTCTGAGCAGGCCGGGGGCCGGGGACCCTGGGGGACCTTCCCGGTGGGGATCTGAGAGCTCCCCGGGGTACCCAGCCCGTGAGAGGGGAAGCACCGGGGGAGCCGCGCTTGAAAAACCCCGCCTGCAGGGGGCCCCATCAAGGGTCCCTCTGATCCCCTGCCAGCACCCCCACTGGGGCTGTTCCCGTTCTCCGGGCTCCGCTAATCACAACCTGTGTGAGTTCCTGTCCCAGCTCACAGCCAACTGACTGTTCATGACCCGCGTGTGACCTGCCAGCCCCAAACTTCACAGTGGGACGTCCCACCCCTGTTTTATTTTATTTTTAAAATATATTTTATAGATTTTTTTTTACAGAGGGGAAGGGAGAGGGACAGAGAGCTAGAGACATCGATGAGAGAGAAACATAGACCAACAGCCTCCTGCACACCCCCCACTGGGGATGTGCCCGCAACCAAGGTCCATGCCCTTGACCGGAATCGAACCTGGGACCCTTCAGTCCGCAGGCCGACGCTCTACCACTGAGCCAAACTGGTTTCGGCTTTTCTTTTCTTTAAAAAAAAAAAATTTTTTTTTATTGATTTTAGAGAGGAAGGGAGAGGGAGAGAAAGACGAACATCATATCCATAATGGGAGAGAATATGGATCAGCTGCCTCCTGCACACCCCCTACTGGGGATCAAGCCCGCAACCTGGGCATGCGCCCTTGGCCAGAATCGAACCTGTGACCCTTCAGTCTGCAGGCCGATGCTCTATCCATTGAGCCCAACCAGCGGGATCTGTTTCTTAACGGTTGTTTTAATGACTGACACACACCTTGTCAAAGCGCCTGCTTGATGCCTGAACTCTGCTCTACTTTTTTAAAAATACATTTTTCTTGATTTCAGAGAGGAGGGGAAAGAGAGAGAGAGAGAGAGAGAGAGAGAGAGAGAGAGAGAGAGAGATTGACATCCATGATGAGAGAGAATCATGGATCACTGCCTCCTGCACGCCCCACCCTGGGGATGGAGCCCGTAACCCAGGCAGGTGCCCTGACCGGGAATCGAACCGTGGTCTTCTGGTTTGTAGGTCGATGCTCAGCCCCTGAGCCACGCAGGCCTGGTCCAGGCTCTTCCTTTCCATCTGAACTGTCCATTGTGTCCCGTCTACACTCACATGGGACGGGCTCGCGATGGCCACGGACGGGCTGCTGTGCCGGAAGCAGTAAGGCCTGGTACACGGAGCAGTAAGGCCTGGTACACGGAGCAGTAAGGCCTGGGACACGGAGCAGTAAGGCCTGGGACACGGAGCTTTCTTTCAGAACCAGAGCGCCCTGGGCAGGTCTCCCGCCGGGCCCTCGGGCACACCGGCCAGCCCCTGCTTGCCCGCACCCCAACCCCGATGCCCCCCACGGCCCATGTCAGGCCTGGCAGCTTCTCGTGCCAAGCACGGCCCGCCCGGGGGTGAGGGATTGCACAATTCTTTAAAGGCCTTGGCACACAGCCCCGAAAACTGGAATATCCGCTCCGTTGGGATATGAGTGGTAGCTGATAATGCCAGAAAGCGTTATTTTTATTTATTTATTTATTTATTTTTAAATGTATGGCCGCCTTATGAACTCTTTGTCTTTATCTGCGCTTTCTCCACCCCCACGGCTGCCTCTGAAGCGGAGCCAACATCCCGAGGGGGGGGTGCGGGGTGTGGACGGGCCAGGGCTGCACAGAGCAGAGTCCAGCCCAGCCCAGAAGGGTGGGCAGCGTCCCCATTGGGTGCCTACAGCATGGGCTAGGCTGTGGGCTCAATCCCCAGTAGGGGGAGTGCAGGAGGCAGCCCATCAATGATTCTCTCCCTCTCCCTCTCCCTTCCTCTCTGAAATCAATAAAAAATATATATATATAAAAAGAAAAGAAAAAAGGGCCTGGCTGGCCATGGCTCAGTGGTTGAGCATCAACCTAGAAACCAGGAGATCACGGTTCGATTCCCGGTCAGGGCACAGGCCCAGGTTGCTGTGGGCTTGATCCCCAGTAGGGGGTGTGCAGGAGGCAGCTGATCCATGATTCTCTTTCATCATTGATATTTCTTTCTTTTTAAAAAAATATATTTTATTGTTTTTTTTACAGAAAGGAAGAGAGAGGTTGAGAGAGCTAGAAACATCGATGAGAGAGAAACATCGACCCGCTGCCTCCTGCACACCCCCTACTGGGGATGTGCCCGCAACCAAGGTCCATGCCCTTGACTGGAATCGAACCTGGGACCCTTCAGTCCATAGGCCGACGTTCTATCCACTGAGCCACACCGGTTAGGGCATCATGGATATTTCTATCTCCCTTTCCCTTCCTCTCTGAAATCAATAAAAATACATCTTTTTAAAAAAAAAGGGGGGGGGGAGGCCAAAACCGGTGTGGCTCAGTGGATAGAGCGTCAGCCTGCGGACTGAAGGGTCCCGGGTTCGATTCCGGTCAAGGGCATGTACCTTGGTTGCGGGCACATCCCCAGTAGGAGGTGTGCAGGAGGCAGCAGGTCGATGTTTCTCTCTCATCGATGTTTCTAGCTTCTTATCCCTCTCTTCCCCTCTGTAAAAACTCAATAAAATATATTTAAAAAAATAAAAATAAAAAATAAAAAAGGAAGGAAGGGCCTGGAGAGCCGAGGGCCTCGTCCGGGCTCCCCCCCCCCCCCCTCCCCCCGCTGACGGGCGTGCGCTGTCCTGTTTGTCCCGCAGACGCCAGCGAGGTCAAGGCCAAGGCCAAGGCCGCCCGCGAGGCCCAGTCCTGCGGGGACGGCTGCGCCTGCTCCGCCTGCTCGCCCCGGCCGCCCACCATCAGCGACCTGCTCAACGACCAGGACCTGCTGGACGCGATCCGGATCAAGCTGGACCCCGTGCACCCCACCATCAAGAACTGGAGGAACTTCGCCAGCCGCTGGGGCATGCGCTACGACGAGCTGTACTTCCTGGAGCAGCAGCGGCCGCAGAGCCCCACCCTGGAGTTCCTGCTGCGCAACAGCCAGCGGCCGGTGGGCCAGCTGCTGGAGCTGTGCCGCCTCTACCACCGCGCCGACGTGGAGCGCGAGCTGCGCCGCTGGCTGGACGAAGAGTGGCCCAAGCGGGCCCGCGGCGACCACCCCCGGAACTTCTAGGCCCCGCCTCCTCGCCGCGGACTACGTGACAGCGGCCCCGGGCCGTGGGGGGGGGGGGGGGGCGACGTGAATCTGTGCCTTTTTATTATTATTATGTTTTAATAATATATATATATATATATATATTTTTTTTGACGATACCGGTGTGGCTCAGTGGATAGAGCGTCGGCCTGCTGGACTGGAAGGGTCCCGGGTTCGATTCCGGTCAAGGGCGTGTGCCTTTGGTTGCGGGCACGTCCCCGGTGGGGGGTGTGCAGGAGGCAGCTGGTGGATGTTTCTCTCTCGTCCATGTTTCTAGCTCTCTATCCCTCTCTCTTCCTCTCTGTGAAAAAAAAAAAAAAATCAATAAAATATATTAAAAATAAGAAAAAATAAAAAGTAGAACAAAACACTTTAATAATAATATATATATATGATTGATCTCAGAGAGGAAGGGAGAGAGAAACACCAATGATGAGAGAGAACCATGGATCAGCTGCCTCCTGCACGCCCCACACTAGGGATGGAGCCTGCAACCCGGGCCTGTGCCCTGATGGGGAATCGAACCCTGACCACCTGGTTCCTAGGTTGATGCTCAACCACGGAGCCACGCCACGCCAGCCGGGCTGTGTTGCTCATTCTGGAGCCATTCACTCATTTCTCGAGTCAGATTCCCTCTCTATGCCCACAGCCTTCTCTCTTCCAGCCTCTGGCCAATGACTGCTTCGTGTTTTTACCTGCAGGCGCAGAGTCAGTGTGTGGGGTTGTCTTTCATATGCAATAACACTTTGGTTTTTCTCCCCTTGTCACTCTAACAACACAATGACACAGGCCCAAAGAATTGATGAGACTGTTCTCTTTGCTCTGGGCGGGGGCTCGAGCTTCCTCCTCCCTGCCCCCCCCCCCCCCCCCAACGCCGTGCACACCCCATAAACACAGGGAGGCAGGCCTCCTGGCAGAGATGCTAAGCCAGGGGCCCGGGCTTGCAGGAGCTCCAGGTGAGTGGGTGCTGCACCTGGTGGTACCACTAGAGGGAGCTCCTGCAGGGACTCGCCACTACAGGAAGACAGCCTAGATCAGGGGACGGCAAACTGCGGCTCTCCAGCCACATGCGGCTCTTGGGCCCCTTGAGTTTTTAGCAGAGGCCAGCTTAGGAGTCCCCGAATGAAGTTCATCACAATGCGCCTACCTAGGTAGTTTAAGTTTAAACAATGTGGCTCTCCAAGGAAATGTCAGTCGTTGTCCTGTTGATATTCGGCTCTGTGGACTAATGAGTTTGCCGACCGCTGGCCTAGATGCCTCCTACACATCAACCCGACGTTTGCATCGAGGGGCAGCCTGGCATGACTGTTGCCCACCCCCTTTGGAAACGGAAAAGGGGGTGGCTTCCCATGACTTCCGAAGCCGAGCCATCATGTCCTTCTGTTGTCCGTGACGCCCAGCGGCCATGTTCCTTGGATGCGTCCGAAGCCTCACGGGGGAGGTGTCTTCGGCGGTCAAAGGCGATGCTTTGAAACGACTGGGTTTTTGTGACACTCGGCGTTGATGTACCTGTGAAGCCGCCTTCCCTCTGCTCTCCTGTCTCCACAGGAGTTGTTCCGTTTCTTAGAAATAAAGATTATTTTTATCTAGGATACTGGGTGCTACAGAATTAAAGATGGATGTCAACCGCTCTCTCTCATGGGTGCTTTTGTGCAGATTCCAACGTGGTCGTCGCTGCCGTTGGCCCATCAGGAGGCCAGGGAGTTTCTAAAACGTGTCCGGGACACGAACGGTGCATAGAGAAGCGACTCCTCCATGGCCTGGTCGGTTGGGCTCTGTGGGTGCCTGGACCGAAGGTGTCTTGGGTTTGATGCTGGTCAAGGGCACAGGCCTCGGTTGCAGGCTAAACCCAGGCCAGACCCATCGGTGAGTCTCTCTCACACATCGATGTTTCTGTCTCTTCCCCCACCCTTCCACTTTCTCTGGAAAAAGTCAACGCAAGTATGGTGAGGATCAACCACCACCATAGGACAGCATGAGCCGTTGGGGATGAATTAATTTAATTTGCACACTCGGAAGGTCCCTCCCATCTCCAAGGTTCTTTTATTTTATGACAAAACCATGGTTCTAGAAGCTTGATTCTCACACCTGGGAAGACTAGATTTGGGACATGATCCTGTAAAACATAAGAGGTAAGCCTGGTGAGTCTGAACACGGCGGGTCTGGCAGGCCAAAAAGAGATTGAGTACACGGATGGTTGAGTACACGGGTGGTTGAGGGTACACAGGTGGTTGAGTACATGGGTGGTTGGGTACATGGGTGGTTGAGTACATGGGTGGTTGAGGGTACAAGGGTGGTTGAGTACATGGGTGGTTGAGTACATGGGTGGTTGAGGGTACACAGGTGGTTGAATACATGGGTGGTTGAGTACATGGGTGGTTGAGGGTACACGGGTGGTTGAGGGTACATGGTTGGTTGAGTACATGGGTGGTTGAGTACAGGGGTGGTTGAGTACAGGGGTGGTTGAGTATATGGGTGGTTGAGAACAGGGGTGGTTGAGTACATGGGTGGTTGAGTACAGGGGTGGTTGAGTATATGGGTGGTTGAGTACAGGGGTGGTTGGGTACACGGATGGTTGAGGGTACATGGGTGGCTGAGTACACGGGTGGTTGAGGGTACATGGGTGGTTGGGTACACGGGTGGTTTTGTGTACCTGGGTGGTGGTGCTGGCACTGGATATGGGAGAGGATCATTCACATGAGTGTGTTGGTCAACGTTTAACATCTGGCTTGGGGCTGGGGTGGGGTGAGGAGGGAGCCCCCAAGTGGTAGCAGCTGCCTATTTCCCTGGTGTAAACACTCCCATCCCGGCCACCTTCACGGTGCGCCACTGGCTCTCACGGGCGGCCGGAGGGCCGGAGGCCGCTCTCATAGTCCGCTGTCCGTTTTCCAAGGTCTCAAACCGTCGGTGGGGCTTGCCAACTTTTTAGGGGGGGGGGTTAATGGAAAAAAAAATGAGAATGCTTTGCACATAAGAAGAGTCTTGTTTTGGGAAATTTTAGTTTCCATCTTTTAGTGTGAGTGACAAGTCCTGATGTAAATGCAGTCCTTCCAGTGGCTCACTTGCAAAAGCTCTAAAAGGCACTGCTATGACGTCCTCTGTCTTTAAAAGAAACAAAAACAAAAACAAGAAAATAAAAATGTCTCCCCATTGAGTCCACACTCTGTTCCTCTCCATGGCAAACCTTCGGGAACTCCGTCATCATCATTCCCACCGCTTCTTCCCCTTGTTTCTCCACGCAGCCTGTCCGTCAGTCAACGTGACTTCTGGGTCTCTAAGTCCGCTGGGTACTTCTATTTTTATTGCTTTTCAATCCTCACCCGAAGGTATTTTTTCCATTGATTCTTGGAGATACGTCGTGTGCTTTTGACGGGAATTGAACCCGAGCCCCTTGGGTTCACCGGCCGATGCTCTGCCCACTGGGCCCCCAGCTAGAGCCGTTGGCTGCTCCTCTGGTCCTTGGCTTCTCGGCAGCATTTGTCACAACTGGCGGTTCCTTCTCTAGACTTTCCTTCTTTGTCTTTGGACACCTCTGGGCAAGGCTCCAGGGCCGCCCTGCTCAGCCTCCTGGTTCTCTGCTTGGCTTGTCCTGGCTCAGTGGTCCCGTGGCTCAGTGATCCATGGCTTCTGTCCTGGCTCAGTGGTCCCTGGCTTCTGTCTTGGCTCAGTGTCCAGTGGCTTCTGTCCTGGCTCCGTGGTCACTGTCCCCGTGACCCCTCGGACCCAGGGCTTCCTCCCTCCTGGTTCCCAGCCCAGCAGCAGCAGCCTCTCCCTTGTCAGGAGCCTCGGGCTCTTTGCACAACGGCCCAGCACGTTCTTGTTCTTCCCCCAAATCTGCATCTGCCCCTCCCCTCACTCACCTGCACCTGCACCTGCACCTCCATCTCCACCTTCACCTCCGTCTTCACCTCCATCTTCACCTCCACCTGCACCTGCACCTCCATCTTCACCTCCATCTTCACCTCCATCTTCACCTCCACCTGCACCTCCATCTCCATCTTCACCTCCATCTTCACCTCCATCTTCACCTCCACCTGCACCTCCATCTCCATCTTCACCTCCATCTTCACCTCCACCTGCACCTCCATCTCCATCTTCACCTCCATCTTCACCTCCATCTCCATCTTCACCTCCGTCTTCACCTGCACCTGCACCTCCTCCTGTGCAGCGCGGTCTCCGGGGCGGGGTGACCCCAGACTCCGCCCCGTTCCCGTCCCTCCCTCCCTCCCTCCCTCCCGGACTGAGCGCCGGGCGGTCCGCAGCCGCAGGGCCCAGCGGAACCGGAACCGCCCGGAACCGAAAGCGGACGGACCTGCCGACGCTTCCTCGCCGGAGCGCCGAGCCGCCGCCGGTGAGTGCGCGGGGCGCGCGGGGCGCGGGGGGCGCGGGGGAGGGTCCGGGCGGAGCGATGGGCCTGTCGCGCTCCCGCCGGTATCCGGAGGCCCCTCCGCCGCCTCTGCCCGGCGGGGACCGGGGACCCCGCCTCCCGGGGTGATGGGGGCCTGCGAGCGCGCGGGGTCCGGGGCCGGGACCGGGGACCAGGACCGGGACCGGGGACCGGGACAGGGACGGGGTCGGGGACCGGGACAGGGACGGGATCGGGGACCGGGACAGGGACCGGGATCGGGGACCGGGACAGGGACCGGGATCGGGGACCGGGACAGGGACCGGGATAGGGACCGGGATCGGGGACCGGGACAGGGATCGGGGACCGGGACAGGGATCGGGGACCGGGACAGGGACCGGGATAGGGACCGGGACAGGGACCGGGTTTGGGGACCAGGACAGGGACGGCGTCGGGGACCTGGACAGGGACCGGGATAGGGACCGGGACAGGGACCGGGATCGGGGACCGGGACAGGGACCGGGTTTGGGGACCAGGACAGGGATGGCGTCGGGGACCAGGACAGGGACGGGGACCTGGTCGGGGACCCGGATCGGGATGCCAGGTCGGCGCTAACCCGTGGGAGGCGGCTTTGCTTGTTGACCTGTGACAGGTCAGGTGTTCTGGGCGGGGCCAGACTCCGGAAACTTGTTTCCTTCCTCTTTTCATTCTCGTGTGTGTGTGTGTGTGTGTGTGTGTGTGTGTGTGTGTGTGTGTGTTTTGTTGTTGTTGTTTTTATATTCTATTGATTTTTTACAGAGAGGAAGGGAAAGGGATAGAGTTAGAAACATCAATGAGAGAGAATTATTGATCAGCTGCCTTCTGCACACCCCTCACTGGGGATGTGCCCGCCACCAAGGTACATGCCCTTGACCAGAATCGAACTTGGGACCCTTCAGTCCGCAGGCCAGAGCTCTATCCACTGAGCCAGACCTGTTAGGGCCCATTTACTATTGCAACAACAAAAAAAAATTAAGTTACTTAGGAATAAACCTAACTAAGGAGCTAAAAGACTTGCACTTGGAAAACTACTGGACGCTGAAAAAAAGAGATAGAAGAAGATAAGAACTAGTGGACGGATATACTGTGTTCATGGATTGGTAGACTCACATTGTTAAAATGGCCACACTCCCCAAATCTGCAGATCAGTACAATCCCCATTAAAATACCAACAGCGTAGTTCACAGATCTAGAACAAATCCTCCAAAAATTTATATGGAACAAAAAAAGAAAAAGACCCCCAACAGCCACCGCAATCCTGAGAAAGAAGAACAAAGTTGGAGGAATCACAGTACCCGATCTCAAGTTACACTACAAAGCCACTGTAATGGAGACAGCTTGGTACTGGCATGAGAATAGGTATGTCGATCCATGGATCAGAATAGAGATCCCAGGAATCTACCGAGCCGTTACGCTCAGTGTTTGACAAAGGAGGCCCACTGGATGGGAGGACGTATTTGGCAACGATACATCTGATAAAGGTTAAATATCCAAAATATATAAGGAACCCATACAACTTAACAAAAGGAGGACAGTGCAATTAAAAAATGGGCAAAGGACCTAAATAGACACTTCTCCAAAGTGAACATACAGATGGCCAAGAGACATGAAAAAAATGCTCCAAGTCACTGATCATCAGAGAGATGCAAATTAAAATGACAACGAGCCATCACCTCAGACCTGGATATCTGAGGTTTGGCTGCCAATTAGAAGTGCACTCAGTGAGAATTGGGGTCAGATCTGTGGTTGCAATAGAATCCCGTTATTTGGCAAATATGAGTGAAATAATTTATAACTTACCTTTAAGGATAATTATGACATAAAGAAAGGTGATGCATTTTCCTTCCCTCTGTTTTGACCTTACCCAGGGCAACTGCCTCCGTTTCAGTCGAGGGAACCTTTAAGTGAAACTTGCTTAAAACCTGAGCTCGTACACAGAAGAGAGACTGCAGTCGACACTGAAAGCGGAAAGGAAGGATGCTGTCCTTGAACAACCTACAGAATGTCATCTACAACCCGGTAACCGAGTCCTCTGGCGTCACTTCCTGCCCTTGGCAGGACTGAGAGCACACCCAGGGCTGCAGTGATGGACGGGGTGGCTGTTGGAGAGCCATGAGGGCCACATGGAAAATGCTGGGTTCCTAACAGCGCGTTTGTTCGAATCGTTTCCCCCAGATAATCCCCTACGTGGGGACCATCCCTGAGCAGCTGGATCCCGGAACTCTGATCGTGATCCGCGGGCACGTCCCTGGGGACTCAGACAGGTAAGATCGCGTGGCGTCCGATGGAGGAGGACACGGAGGAGCTGCCTCCTTGTGTGGCAATAACGTAACCTGGGAGAGACTTTGGGTACGTGAGGCTGACCTGGCTTCCGTCAGCATCCTGGCCCAGATGCTGAGATGGGAATGAGTGACTGAAATAGACGTTATTTCGGTTTTTTATTTTATTGCTCTAAGTCTGATCTCATTACAAGGAACGAGAGGCCTGGTTTGTGCACCAGTGGGGTCCCTCTGTCTGGCCTGCACCCTCCCACAATCTGGAACCCCTTGGGGGATGTCGGACTGCTGGTTTCAGCCCGATTCCTGCAGGCCGGGCCAAGGGCACTGGGCCTTGAGTGTGCATATAAGATCTTTGGTTAATCTCTTCCCGCCCTCCCCCTTCCCTCTGAGATTCATCAGTCTGTTCCATGTTTCCATGCCTGTGCGTTGAGCGTCTGCCCTCTGGTGGTCAGTGCCTGTCATAGCTAACAGTTGAAGGGCTGCTTAGGCTTTTATATGTATAGTTTGGATGTATGGTTAGTGAGGGGAACTGTGGTCAGGAGACAGGGACAGAGTCCAGTTGCAGGGTCCCTCCCACAGCTCCTCCTAAGGCCCGTTTTGGGTCGTTTTTATCGATGGGCTGGGTACGAACTGTGGACGAGGCCGTATCTGTTAGAGTTGGGCTCAGGTCCGTGCGGCTGCCGCCCACGTGACAGCGGCGTCCAGGAAAGAGTCGGGTCTGAAGGAGACAGCTGTTGCCGAGTCTTAGAGAAGCAGCCTCCTCCGGCGTCTGCTGCCCCAGGCGAAGGCCCCTTTCCCATGGTTCTTGGCGCTACAACTGCAGCCTCCCGGCGTGCGTGGGGCGGCTGGGTGGGAGCACGTGCTGTTTGCAGGGATGGACGAGGGAGGCCGGGGAATGGAGGCTCCCTCCGGACAGACGGGGCCCCGGCCTCGGCCCCGGGGTCTGTTGGTAAGGAAGAAGCGGAGGCGGCGTGGGGAGGCCGTGCGGCTGGAGGAGGGGGTCAGCCGTGTGTCCCCCGCCTGGATCCCCTGCTGCGGCCCCACCCCGCAGCCCCCCCGCCCCGTGCTCGGCTCAGGGGCCGTCTCCCCGCAGGTTCCAGGTGGATTTGCAGAGCGGCAGCAGCGTCAACCCCCGCGCGGACGTCATCTTCCACTTCAACCCGCGATTCAAGAGGACCAACTGCATTGTCTGCAACACCCTCAAGAACGAGAGGTGGGGGCGGGAGGAGATCACCTACGACATGCCCTTCGGGAAGGAGAAGTCCTTCGAGATCGTCATGATGGTGCTGACGGACAAGTTCCAGGTGGCGTGCGGGGGCTGAGCCTTGGACCTCACTCGTGGGCGTGTCACCCTCACGGTTCTCCATCGGAGAGTCTGGCTGTGGCTGCTCCCCCTGCAGGGGCCATGTTTCTCCTCCCAGGGAAACGTATGTGCACGCGTGCGTGACTGGTGTGCAGAGGAGGACAGACATTAGGCGTACGTGAGATCAGGAAGGCGGGAGCAGAGAGAGACCCTGCGGGTGGCTGATGCTGCCCGTCAAGTCTGGGCAGACCGAGCGGGCAGAGGGGTAACCTGGAAATCCAACCCGAGTCTCCAGATGGCGGTTGGTGTGGTGTTACCCAGTGGGTGGGTCTGTTAACTGGTTTCGCTGTGCCCACCAAGGTGGCCGTCAACGGGAAGCACACGCTGCTCTACGCGCACAGGGTCAGCCCCGAGAAGATCGACACGCTGGGCATCTCGGGCAAAGTGCGCATCCACTCGGTCGGCTTCAGCTTCAGCTCGGTGAGCGCCCTCCCCTCCGTGGTGAAACGGAAGGAAACCCCTCCAGTTACCGCCCGGACCCCCAATCCTCCGTCTGCAGACCCCAATCGTGGGCAGTTCCAGCCAGAAGCCCTTTAGCTGCTGGGCTGTTCCCTTGACCCAGAGGGACGGGGGTTGAGAGGTGGCTGCCTGCGTCAGGGGGTGTCTGCATTTTAAGTTGTGGTTGAAAGTGCTAACTTGCCCTCCAAGAAGACTAAAGCGGAGTTCTCAAGCATAAAACAAACAAACAAACAAAAAGTGGCCCTAACCAGTTTGGCTCAGTGGATAGAACGTCGGCCTGCGGACTGAGGGTCCCAGGTTCGATTCCGGTCAAGGACATGGACCTTGGTTGCGGGCACATCCCCAGTAGGGGGTGTGCAGGAAGCAGCTGATCGATGCTTCTCTCTCATCGATGTTTCTAACTCTCCCTCTTCCTTCCTCTCTGTAAAACATCGATAAAAATATATATTAAAAAAAAATAATAAAATTTTTTAAAAATGTATTGATTTGAGAGAGGGAGGGAGAGGGAGATAGAAACTTTTCTATTGATTCACTGCCTCCTGCATGCCCCCCGTCAGGAATCGAGTCCACAACCCTGGCATGTGCCCTGACAGGGAATCAAACCTGCAAACTCTCAGTGCCCGGGTCGCTGCTCAACCCGAGCCCCCCTGGCTGGGCTGTGGTTCTGTTTGTTATGTCACTGGGAACCGGACGGATGGTAAAGATCCCCCTTCTCTTTTCCCCAGGACTTACGGAGTGCCCAGGCACCCACTCTGGAAGTGGCCGTTCTGAATGGAGATGTGAGTATCAGATATTTCCATGAACCACCCGTTTAAAACAGGGGGGACAGGATTCAGCTTGACCTTCCAGCCCGAGTAGCCCTGACTCCGGACCACACCGCCATGGAGCTCCTGTTGTCTGGGTATCGGTCTCATGGCGGAGCAGGCACTGACTGGTCCCAGCCGGGCTGGCTTGGGACACCAGTGAGATCCAGTTACTGCTGTTACGTACACAGCGCTGGGCTCTCCTCTTTCAGTTGTCCTCATTCTGCCCCCCTCTCTCTCTCTCTCTCTCTCCGTAGGTACCAAACGCCGGCATGTCACAATTTGTAAGTATTTCTGCCTGTTGGAATACGTAGAACATTCTAGAAAGCTGCCCAGGGAGCGAGTGGTTTAAACATTGGAAGACAGCGCCATTCATCCCGTCCCTCACTGCACACCTGTCTCCCCACAGCCTAGTAATAGAGGCGACACTGGTAAAATCGCACCCAGAACTGTCTACACCAAGAGCAAAGGTCCGGCTGCCCATCACACTTTGACTTGCGCCAAAATACTACCTATCAACTGTTTGTCCAAGGTTTGAAGAGCCCCCATTTTTCCTCCTGTAGGACAAAGGAAGTCTTAGTTTGCTGATAAGTGGCACCTCTACCTTCAGGAGCCCAGAGCAGCCAGCCACCTGGCATCTGGGTGCTGTCCCTGGGCAGCTCAGGCCCCAGACCCCCAAGGAGCCATTAGTGATCCCCTCCCTGCTGGGGACCCGGCCGGGACCCAGGCTGTCCCTCCACGGGGTGGACAGCCTCAGCCTTCGGACACTTCGGTGTTTGGACAGCTTTCCCACAGGCTGGCCTCCTGCAGGCTTTCTGGTGCCGACTGCGGTCTCTTTTCAGACGCTGCCTTTCGTGGCGAGGTTGAACACCTGCATGGGCCCCGGACGGACCGTCGTCATTAAAGGAGAAGTGAACGCCAAGGCCAAAGGGTGGGTATCACCGAGTTAACAGTAACAGTAACAGTGCAGCCCTCTTCCACGTGTCTCCTCTTGGCGCGCTCCACGCATCTGTCCGATGAGATCCCAGTAGCGGATCTGGAAGGCGAGGCTGATAGAGAGGAAGCCAGGCTGCTCATTAGGTGGCAGAACCAGGACTGAATCCGGATGTGGCCAGACTCAGGGTGGCTCCTCCTTTCCTGGTCGAATCCAGGGCAGCTGAGGTGCTGTAGCTCTTGTTATGGAATTATTGGACATAACAGCCCCTCTTGTCACGTAACTTGTGAAATGTCTGCTTTGCGGGCCTTCTCCAGAGATATTCAGATCTGGAAGCTTGGAATGAGAGGTCTTTCCTAGACAGAAGTACACCTCCAAGAACACAACACACAAAAGTGAGAATCCCTTCTTGATGGGACGCTGTTCCCCGCAGCTGGAGAAATCACTCAGCGTATCCTTCTAAACCCAACCAGATCCTACCCTCTATGTTGATTTTATTTTTTTTTAAAATATATTTTTATTGATTTTGTACAGAAAGGGAGAGAGATAGAGAGTTAGAAACATCGATGAGAGAGAGTCATCGATCAGCTGCCTCTTGCACACTCCCTACTGGGGATATGCCCGCAACCGAGGTACATGCCCTTGACCGGAATCGTACCCGGGACCCTTAAGTCCCCAAGCCAACGCTCTATCCATTGAGCCAAACCGGTCTCGGCTCTATGTTGATTTTAAACTTTTTTTTTTTAATCTTTCTTTTACAAATAACATATTTATGTCTACAGAATGCTAACTAGGAATTTCAAGTTTCATTTCACCTTTTTGTGTTCCTATGTCCATATATGCATACTTGTAGTTTGTGGTTATCACCACAGTTCAGTTCTGATTGTTAAATTTCAGAACGTGCAATTTTTTGGTTGAAAAAAAATTTTTTTTTCTTTTGTCTTAAAAGCTTTAATGTGGACCTGATATCAGGAAAATCAAAGGATATCGCTCTCCACCTGAACCCACGCCTGAACAGTAAAGCATTTGTAAGGAATTCCTTCCTTCAGGAGTCCTGGGGAGAAGAGGAGAGAAACATTACCTGTTTCCCGTTCAGTCCTGGGATGTACTTTGAGGTAAGATTGCATTTTGGAAATGGGACAGGGGAAAGAATCCCGGGAGCAAGCCCTGCTGTGCAGGTGTGTGTGGGTTTTATTTTGAGATTGTACTTTCAATGTCCGATTTATAACATGGTCAGTGCAAATGGCAAACCCAATAGAATGGAATTATTGGACATAACAGCCCCGTTAGTCAATAGGACTTTTGGCAGGAACTGGGTCTCGGTCCTGGGGTAACATGTTTACTGCCCAGTGCACATGAGGACATGGGAGCCGTGAAACTGCCTGCACGGCCATCACCCCTGTGGTTACACACAGCTTTGGGGCAGTCCTTTCTTCCAGGAAGTGAGTCCTGTTTGTTCAAGAAACAAAAGTTTTTAAACCGAGGCAGGCACTAATGTGGCGCGTCCCCCTTCCTTTCAGATGATAATTTATTGCGACGTGAAAGAGTTCAAGGTGGCGGTGAACGGCGTCCACAGCCTGGAGTACAAGCACAGGTTTAAGGAGCTGCCCAGTATCGACACCCTGGAGATCGACGGAGACATCCAGCTGCTGGAAGTGAGGAGCTGGTAGCTGACAAGACCACAAAAACTGAAATACAGATGGCTTACGTGACACTGGCCTCGTGACAATGCATCGCACGACCACACTACCTGTGTACATAGATAGGATGAGCTTCTGCAGCGTTAGTTAGTCCCCGGTGTTCTGACCTGTCGTGCAGGTGGCTGTCTAGCCCAGGAGGAAGTTAGAGGGGCAGCAGCTTATGCGTTATTCAGGCTCCCTGCTCTCCCCCTGCCCAGCCTCTTGTTTCTAACCCGCTTCAGTCACCAGGCACTGGTGAGGGGCCTGCTCTCTGCAGCAGCAAATGCATCGAGCACTGCCTTTGCTGGCAACGTGCTGGGAGCTGAGATGGATGCCCAGTGGTGCCCACGGCCACGTTCCTTAGGCTCTGCTATGTCAGCCCTGGTGCCTCTGCAGGTCAGATACACCCACCAGGGCCTTGGATGACTCAGCTAGTAAACCACTTAAGACATTAATTTGTAGGAGACACTACCACAGCCCCAGGGACCACATTGTTAAAGAGCCTTCTCTCATCCCCGCAGCTAGGGAGTTGATACCGACTGACATCTGGCAGTTCCCTTTAACACAATAAACACCTGACTGTAAGCGCTACCAGATCGTTAACACTGGGACATGAACACAGCACAGAGATTAAGGCAACAAAACAAAGCAAAACCGACAAAAATGAACGGTGTTGAAATTCACTTGATGTCAATCAGAATACATCTGTACCAGTGAGTGGTTACTGTGGAATATTTTTTTATGAATTTAGGGTGAAATAAAGATCTGCACATACCTGTACAGAGAGTTTAAGGTAGAAGCGAGCGGAATTCAATTAATTGGCAGATGTTTATGGGTAACAAAGTGTAGTCAAGAGTGATTTAATGTTTATCAAACAGTCCCTATCAGAAAGTGAGCTACACCAAGAGACCAAAGTAGAGGGGCAACATAAGGCCTGCTGGTTGTCCGATGCCAAGTGGCATTGCCTCTGCTTTTCCAAAGATGAGTCCGTCATTAGGCCGAGATCAAAACATTGTTCTACCGAAGCGATTAAATCAGACCTGTATCGGCAAGTTCAAGTGTTGCATTTCTGTAATTTTTTCTATTATTCTTTGAAACGAGTTGGCAGAATCCTCTGCAGAATTCTCACATGTCAGGTCTTGTTACAGGAAATTTAAAAGGCTCGGGAGCGGGGAGGTAAAAACTGCTGAGCTGGATTCTGCCAGGATTTAGGAGTTACTTTCATAACAGATACTCGTTATTTTTTAACACCCTTATACTGAAAAGAATACTACAATGTAGAAACTTCTAGCATTCTTTCCAGCATTTTCCTAAAACAAAACATTGATGGGGGCGTGACTCTAGAATCCCAGGGTTATTTTTTTCTTCCTGAAAGATTACCTGGAGATTGTGAAACAAAGGACTGATTCTTTGACAGGATACAAAATGTTTAGATGTTTTGAAATGAAGCTATTAGCGTTTATGACTGAGCATGCCAGCCTTTTGCTTGTGACAACTCTGTCACTGTGACATCACATTAAAAAAAAATCCGGTTCTTTCTCATACAAGTGACACTTGGTCACCACCCGTGGGAAACTGGGCCTCCTACTCCCTGGGAAAGGGGATCGGGAAGGGAAGGGGGAGTGGCTTCCAGCTGGTGGGTTTGCCAGGTGTAGCTATTTCATAAACGGCCTGTAGCCTCCACCCCCACAAAAGGCTGAAAGATAAAAGAGATGATCATTGTCCTGAGTGGAAAGTACATTCTAGAACGACTGCCCTATATCGGCACACACAAAAGTCAAGGCTGAAGTGTTATCTACCCAAAATGAAAGTAAAGTCCAAATGGCTTTACAGTCCAAAGTGTTCCTGTTGAAAGCGGAATAACGCGCTTTCTTGAAGGGAAGAAAGTGGATTGCTTTGAGGGAAATCTGACCTGGCCACCACGGGCTAAGACATTCCTTTATAGAAGCGCTAAGGTTTGCGCTTGGCAGTCCAGCGGGCACTGCCAGCTGGGGCTCGAGGACGAGACCTGTCTGTACCAGGAACCTCGGTCAGGACTGACCAATAAACGCTGAAACAACACAGCCACCGTTACCAAACCACATGTGTCCTTTACTCTGCGAATCTGTACAGAGGGCGGGAGGGCTCGGGTGGAGTACAAACGAGGGAAGACCCTTGTCAAGTCCACGTTGGTGTTAAGGCACCAAAACTAACATGGCACCAAACACCCAAATAAAAATATAAAACATAAATCCGAACTCGGACCAGAGTGAACCCCGCCGCGGTTAGAAGTAGCTCTGCAGCGGCTCCCCCAGCACGGCCTCCAGCCGCTGCACCGTCCGCTGGCACTGATGCTCCACCTCTTCACACTCGTCTGCAAATGCAAGGACACGGGTCAGCTTCCGGCCCCGCTTCCCCCGCCTCATCCGGGCGCGTCCCGGCTCTGGCCGCCAGCCCCCAGACAGGGAGGCATCAAAGCGGAGGCGCCTGGGAGGCCCTTCCTCCCCGCCAGGGGCCTCGGGCTTGGAAGACGGAGCCCAACAGAGGCCCCAGAAGAAAATTCCCGATTCCTGGCGGAGCCGCGCTCCAGGCCGTCAGAACCGGTGCACGACCTTTGTGGAGATGAGCAGTGCAACAGGAACGTGAACGCGTGGACTCCTCGCCTCCATCCCCTACTTAGGGGGAGCCCCACTATCATTCCCTGGACTGCGCTGTGCCTGGAGCTTCCTGGGCCCAGTGTCCACACCGCACACCTGGCTCCCACCCCAGCTCCATCACACGTTCATCAAGTTACACGTTCATCTAGTTCTTTCCTTTATGAAACGGGCACTGCATTGGCTTACACGGTCCCGGGGATAATGAGGACCACGCCCAGCACGGAGTAGAGCAGGTCGCTGTGAACAGGAAGCTGTCACAGGCTGTCTCAGTGCCTACCCATCGTGATACAATAGCCTCCAGCTGCAGCCAAACACGTGTGTGAGGGGAAGGCAAAGGAAAGGCCATTTCCTAATCTCTTCCCGCCACGCACTCAGCACAGGAACCCCACCTCGCGGGTCCCCGTGGGAGCCCAGGCCGTCCCCCTGCACCCACATTGGCGTTTTCATTGGAAATTACCTTCCATCAATTCCGCTAAGAAGGGGATGGACTCTGGCAGCAAGACAATGTAATTCTCCTTCAGCGTCTCCGCCAGCGCGAGCACAGTGATGAGGGCAGCAAACCGAACCTGGAGGGAACCACGGGCAAAGGTTGGTGAAAAACAGAATCTTCCAAGTGAAATGTTCTTTAACACGAGTTTATTTCACTTTATGTCCATCCGACTCCCACCACAGGATGCCAGGGGACGGGACAGTTTGGGATCTGTTTGGGATAGAGGCGTCCTGAACTGTGTTCCAGCACTTCGGCCCCCATGTCCGTGGGTGTCACCAGCTACACCTGCCTTCCAGCATCCCACAGACCCCTCTCAGCCTGAGATACTCTCACCCAGAGGAAAGTCTGTGGACAAGCTCAAAGCACTGGCCTCTGTGAGCAGAGAAACTTAAGAGGAGTTTAAATTAAAAACCAAAAGGGATCACTTCATGTCTTCTCAAGATTTAAAAGTGCAAGAATGCCGAAACCGGTTTGGCTCACTGGCTAGAGCATTGGTCTGCGGACTGAAAGGTCCCAAATTTGATTCCGGTCAAGGGCATGTACATTGGTTGTGGGCACAAACCCAGTAGGGGGTGTGCAGGAGGCAGCTGGTCCACGTTTCTCTCTCATCAATGTTTCTAGCTCTCTATTCCTCTCCCTTCCTCTCTGTAAGAAATATATATTTTAAAAAATAAATAAAATTGCAAAAGTATTTAGAAGTATTTGAGTGTTTGAGCCACCCACACATACTATATGGGTCAGGGGAGGACTGCTGCTCTTTATGAATAACCCGGAAGTAAAATCCAGAAACGCAGGCACAAACTTCTATCCGGCACAGTCTGCCCGCTGGTGCTAGGAGATGAGCAGCCGTGTTTGTCCGGCCAGTTACCATGGTTGCACAGCCGTGACCTCGCGATAGCTGTTTGGCCTACGTGGTGAGAACCCAGGGCACCCGGGCTGCCACTGCGGCTCCTGACCTTGGGCGAGGAGTCTCTGGTCTTGAGCAGGACCTGGTAGTTGAGGGGCTTCCAGAGGGAGTCATCGGCCATGGCCACGGAGAACTGGGAGATGCAGGGCACCAGGTGCTGCGTCACCCGCTCCTGGAACTTCTCTTCTCCTCCCAGCCGGTTCTCCAGCTGCGGAGTGAGAAAAGGGCTTTGAGCAACAGGGCGCATTCTGTTTAAAAAAATACCCAACGTGTAAATACTATTCCTCTGTCCTCTGTGACAGGCTCAAACCGGGAGCTGTTCTGACACGGTCCTAGGTAGCGGACCGCCTTCAAGGAGCTCACAGACATCAGCCTCAGCACCCCTCCCTCTGGAGACTCTGCGAGCCGGAGGACGGCCGCACCCCAACATTCTCAATGAAACCAGTTCTAACAAATTGGAAACTTAACCACCGGACCAGCGGTCCCCCGCCTCTCGGACCTCATGGACCACCAGGGGTCCGAGGATCACCGGCTGGCGACTGCTGCATCAGTCCTTATATTGTGCTTTTCATGTGAAAAATTCAAAAGTAGAGCTCAGTAAACTAACGAAGGTAAGTTAAAGCCACAAAAAAGGAGAAGTGAAAAGGTGGTTTGACTCGGTTACCTGGTCCACCAGAGGCATCATCAAGGCTTCTGCTCTCTCTTTACTTAAAAAGTGCTGGGTGTCGAAAAGGAAGATCTTATGCAAACAGTTCAAGATGAACTGTAAGAGCAGGCAGCACTTATCAGGGTCATTTTCAGAGTCAAAGAACGCTTCATCTGTAAGAGGGGGGAGAGTGAAAGTGAAAACCATGTCACAATTTAATCTCCAATGTTTACATTCAAATCACTGTTGACAAAACTACAATCAAGAGGGTATGTCCACCTCCATCTAGAAAGCAAGCTCAGGATGAGGGTGGAACAGTGTGGATGGGTTCTCGGTTAAGTGATCCCTCCTTTCCATTAGCTCAGTGGTCGGCAAACCACGGGATCATGAGCCACATGCGGCTCTTTGGCCCCTTGAGTGTGGCTCTTCCACGAAATACCACTGCCTGGGTGAGTCTATGTTGAAGAAGTGGCGTTAGAAGAAGTTTAAGTTTAAAAACTTTGGCTCTCCAAAGACATGTCAATCGTTAGTTATACTGTTGATATTTGGCTCTGGGGACTGATGAGTTTGCCGACCACTGCATTAACTCATGACCCATTTTCATGATGCGAAAGCAGACCCTTTAGGGCCTGAACCCCGACTACAGTAAGAACAGCCACCCCCTTAGGCTCGCTATACTTCCTGAGCCTCGTGTAAGGCACCCAGAGCGAGGAGTCCACGGACTGGAGTCAGCCACCAACCTGTTTTGGAGATGTTCACCTGGTTCAGGGTGTCGGCAAAAGGCTTCACCAGGTGGCCAGCGAACAGAGTGAAGAGCCCCTTCAGTCTGGCGGCAATGCAATCCGCCAAGTGGTAAAACGTCAGCAGTCTGTCCTTGGGGGCGTCCTCGGTCTTGGCCCAATCAAACAGCTGGAGAGAGAGAGAGAGAAATGGGAGTTTATTCACACATCGTGTTGCTGAGAGGAGCACAGAGCAGGCGGGGGGGAAGCAAGCTCACCTTGAAAAACAGAGGTCTGAACGTGAGCTCAGACAGTTTTACAACCATAGCCACCAGGCAGTCAATGATATGACTTTCCGTTTTTCCAACCTCTTCCAGATCATTCTGAAAACAAAAGAGCCGTTTGATTGGGCAGAGGTCTGGCATCCAGCTCTGCATGCTTGTGGCCCGTAGAACAGGTCACAGCTAGCTTTCGGCTGGCTGTCAGCAGGTGAGTTCGGGATTGGGGGAGCGGCTGTAAGCTGACCTCGGGGTGCTTGGCTCGGAAGTCCAGGGCCTCCAGGAAAAACGCGGTGAGCTGAGACTGATGGGAGGTGAGCTCCTCCTTCTTCATGACCCCGAGGTGCTCTTGCAAGATGCTCATAAATGGGCCCATGTGATTCTACCGAGAACACAGCGGAGAGAGGGACCAGTGTTTCACGTTCCAAGTTCATTATGAAGGTGAACATGTCAGCACCTTACCTCCCCTCCCCGAAGTCTAATCCCCAACAGATCTCACCCTCCAGTCCTTCTGGATGTGCTTGTAGGTTTTGTTGATGGCTGGCAGCAGGACGCGGGGTGACAGAGTGGTGGCCAGGGTCTTTTTAAGAGACGTGAGTCGGACATTAGCCTGGGAGGCTGGACCCATCTCACTCGTGATTTTCTCCAAACGAATCACCTACGGAAATAGAGACAGCGATTGAGGCCTCTGTGGACTCGGTGAGAACGTCTCAGAGTCACGTGATGAGTCGAGAAGTCAGCCCAGATGCTAGTGGCTGGGTAGGCTCGGTACACGTTTGCCAGAACATTCCCTCCCCAGCCAACCCTGACCATCTGCAGACGCAAATGGACAGGTGCCTCTTTCCCAGCGGGAGATGGGGATGTGGATGAGTGGTGGGAGGACTCTGAGCAACTCAGACTTGCGATGTTCTTAGGACAGGAATCCAGCGCCATGAGTACCTGAGCTCCTTCTTGCTAGCAAACTTAGAAAGCTCCTTAGAGAGAGAGATCCCGTTCTGTAAATTTCAAGCACTGGTTAAATCATCCGCATCAAGGAAGTTATAAATGGCAAATGATCAAGAGAACAGAACAGGTGCGGGGCCATTCTTGGGCATGTTCAGTTGGAAATGCCACTTGCCCGCTGTGTGCAGTAAGCTCTCTCTCTGCACTGACCTCCAACAGGAGAGCTGGGGGGGCACCTGGTCCTACAGCAAGTAATAGAGACAGCTCTGCCTGCTCAATGCCAAACCGCTCGGGGGGGAAAAGAGCAATAAACTACATTCTGCCAAATCCAGAGACCAGCCTCATGGCAAGATGACACCTTCTCAGTGCCAAGGCTAAGCAGAGGCATGATGACGTGGGAGAGAAGGCACGCATGTAGGAATAACAAAGCACTTCTCAGGAATAAGCTTCCTGCCAAGCAGAAACTACAAACGTAGAGAACAAATACAGTGACTGAGTGTGTGATTTTCCTTTCCCCCTGCTCCCTCACACCGCACGCTGGGTCCCGGGCTCACCTGTGACAGCACGCCTTCCAGGTAGGGGCTGAGGAAGTGGGGCAGAGTCTCCACCACCTTCTGCAGGGCCGCTAGTACGCTGAGCAGGTAGACGTCGCCAGAGACCAGCTCGCTGGTATTCATTGTTGTCAGCAGGGAGGGCATCAGGCTAGAAAGCAAGCACACGTTTTAGACTAACTTTAAGCAGACAAAGAAGGGAGTGTAAGTCAGTAAAAAAAAAAAAAAAAAAAAAAATCTCACACTGGTGTCTACACTGTGTATGTCAGAGCCTACAAAACACCGTCTACATAGCTTTCGTGACAAAGAGCAAGATGTGTCCCGGTGCCTGTAGTATCGACTACGCTCCTTTTAAAAATAATGCCTCTCGCCTTAACGCTTGCTTTGTGTCTGGCCCTATCCTACAGAACCCCACGGATGGGTGTGGTCTCTCTCTTTCTCTCTCTCTCTCTCTCGAGTGGCAGCACCCATGGCTTCCTAATGACAGCTGGTCAGAGGGGATCAAAAACGGGGACAAGAAACACCATAAAGGTAAAAGGGAATGTTGTGCTTTTCAGTTGGAAGATCAATTCTGTAGCAAATTCATTTTAAAAAAATGCTCACCCGAGGACATGATTTCATTGATTTTAGAGAGAGAGGGGGAAGAAGGCAGGGAAAGAGAGAGAGCAAGAGAGAGAGAGAGAAAGAGAGAGAGAACCATCAACGTGAGAGAGAAACCCTGATCGGCTGCCTCCCGCATGTGCCCTAACTGGGGAAGGAACCGTGACCTTTCGGTGTAGGAGACAACCAGCTGTGGCCCTCGGGGCCTCATCACGCACCTGGGAAGCTGTGGGACGGCCAGGGGCCCCAGAGTGGAGGCCACCTCTGCTACGCACAGCAGGGCACTGCCCACCACGTTCTTCTCGTCCTTCTCTGGAGCGACCAGTTTCACCGCCGTGGTCAGCACTGGGACGAAAGGCTCTGGATTCTTGGCACCGAAATTCTTGCACAAAAGCTTCAGGGTGTACAGAGCTGTCTGCCTGTTTATCGCTTGTTCTTCGGTCCCCTTCTTCCTATGCTGCACCACGGCCAGAAGGACTGGAACCAGTTTGAGGAAATTGTAAACCTACGGAGGACAGCGAAGTTCCCAAGAAATTAAAGCTGCAGGGACATTGCCAGGTTCCTTTCCACAGTCACTGCCGACACTGCCCAACAGAGGCCCGAGCAAGACGCCCTGAGCTACATGATCGCGCACAGAACCTCCGCCTATGGACTTGCTGCTGCTGAGCAACGCGTGTGCTGGGAACAGTCCCTGGTTCACACTAAACATCTCCTGGTTCGCAGAGAGACAGCGTGGATGAGAACTGTCCCAAAGCCAACGTGTGGTCCACATCAATAAGAATCCTATCAGAGTTGAAATCCATTCCAAGAACACTTAGGACACATCTCTACACTCCTGCAGAATTCCTGTCCCGTGGGAAACACGTATGCCACAGCAGTGTATTCAGACAGCAACCTGCTATGTGGACGGCGCCACGGGGACCCGGGAGGGGGGAAATGCAGCTCGGACACGGTGGGGCGGGACGGGACGGGAGTGGTCGGACGCGCCGTCACTTACGGTTTTCTTCTTCCAGGACGCCTTCTGCTGCAGCTTGTTGTTGAGAAGGTCCATCGCCTTCCGGCGCACAGACGGCAGGGGGTTGCCCAGCAGCCCTCTGATCACGGGGATGAACGTTTCCGTGGGCAGCAAAGCATTGACCTAGAGAGCGGTTCACATTGAACAAAAAAGCGATCAGAAAAGAGGGAAGAGAAACGCAGATCCAGATAGATTTCTATCCACTGAATACCTTCTAGGCGCAGGCGTGTTCAAACCCCCTTTCTCATTTAATTCTTATATAACTTTCAGGTAAGGCATTGCTGAGCATGTTTATTAAAAAAAGAAAAAAAAAGAACTGATGCCCAGACTAAGTGAGCTGAGCAATGCCAGGCAGCAGTCACTCAGCCGGATGCTGGGCAGTGATCCTATTATACGTCAGGACCGGCAGAGCCTCTGAGAGCCCTCAGACCCCACCTGGCAGGCACTGTCCTCCCACTTGTACTTGAATGAAGTGGAACACCATACAGTGTCCCATGACTGAGTTCTGAAAGCACAGTGTTTGCTAAGGCTCATGTTCACATAGTCGAAAGAGATACAACTGTCATTCTGACAAAATTACTTCTAGTCATCAAGAGGTTCTTTTCTGAGTTGTATTATATTAAGAGAAGCTACTGCTAAATTTATTCTTTTTTTAATACATTTTATTGATTTTTTTACAGACGGGAAGGGTCGATGAGAGAGAATCATCGATCAGCTGCCTCCTGCACAACCCCTACTGGGGATGTGCCCGCAACCAAGGTACATGCCCTTGACCGGAATCGAACCTGAGACCCTTTAGTTTGCAGGCTGACGCTCTATCCACTGAGCCAAACTGGTTTCGTCACTAAATTTATTCTTAAAGTAAAACTATGCAAAACCATTTCACAAGGCCACAAACACAGGAACAGGGCACAGAAGGTGGGGACAAACGGAGCCCCACCTTGTCCAGCATGTCGTAAGCTTTACTGAGGAGCGCTCGCCAGAACTTCCCCGTTAGCTTGTCTGTGTTTTTCTCCACGGACTGGGCGACAGCGTTAATGTAGCCGAGCACCGCCTCCAGCAACCTAAATGCAGGAGACTCGTGAGGATTCAGTACTATTCTTCCAGGTTGTTGATAAAAGCTTGAAATTATTTCCCAATGAAAATTGTAAAAGAAGAAGTAACATACCTTTGTTCAAAGCCCTTTAAGGCCTGAGGACCACCGCTTTCAACGACCTAATTTAGAAAGAAGGCCTCATTAGGATATTATGCAGCTGGTCATAAAAACCATTGAATGGGTCCTTACTTCACCTAAGACTATTTAATTCAAACTTCCTACCACAACTGTTTTGACATTGCAATCTTACAGGTTCGGATCACCCTCAGCATATTGTAATAACTCTATTTCCCTAACTTTACTTTAATTACACTCTATTCATTTATTTTAATTGCATTCTGCAGCTATTGGTAATATCTGTAAAGAACCACAAAGATTCAGAAAACTATAGCAAATCAATACTCATTTATCTACTAATTATGGAAAGCTAATCTTCCGTGAGCTCATAATCTGATTTTAAGGTTTCATGCCTCACATTTTCATGATATTGGCCAAGCTTTTTTTTTTACTAGTTTTTAAAAATATATATATTTTATTGATTTTTTTTTTAAAGAGAGGAAGGGAGAAGGAGAGGGACAGATAGTTAGAAACATCGACGGGATTGAAACATTGATCAGCTGCCTCCTGCACACCCCCCACTGGGAATGTGCCCGCAACCAAGGTACATGCCCTTGACCGGAATCGAACCTGGGACCTTTCAGTCTGTAGGCCGACGCTCTATCCACTGAGCCATACCGTTTAGGGCATCTTTTTAAGCGTTCAAACACAGTTCCTTTAGAAAAAGCCAAGCCACTGTATCGTACAGAGCTGAGGAGCACTCACCTTCCTGATGAAGTGGCTGGAGGCCAGGAGCTGGGCCATGAAGGACACAGATAGGAACTTGAGGTGCCGCAGCTGCTTGCCTGTGTGAGCGTCCACACTGAACACCTGCAGCACCTCCCCTGGCGCTTCGCTCGCGTGAGATGCTGCCTTGGGACCGGATTCTGAAAGAGAGCAACACATCCAGGCAGTCATTGGGGCCGCCAAGTGTGGAATGTTCTCGAGTCTTCTATACTCAGTGATATTTCAGTGTTTCGTTACCACCGCTTCTCTTCTACACAATCTCTGCCCTCCCCTCCCTACCCCTGACCGTTCAGATCAGCAGGAAGTACCCCCATTCTCCCACCTTCCTTTTCCTCCGGCAAACTCAGCAAGTACTGGAGGATATTCATCAAGCTTTGTATTTGCTCCTGGACACTGAATTCACAACAGACTGAGATCCAAAATTCAGTGTCTGCTTCGAGCATAGCGTCCTGCAGAGAGAAAAGACTCAGGTCATAAAACTGTATCTGTCCAGTTTATATAAATCAGTAAGCACAAATAAGGGGAATGTCGTAAAAATATTTCTTTCCTCCCGTCCCGTGTATCTCCATGCGACCGAGCTCCACACTGAAGAGCCAGTCCAGGAGGGTCGCAAGCACACTCCAGAGTCTGCGTGACGACTTCCGCAGAACCAAACACCCTGCTTTCCTCAGATCAGGTCTAGATCTGTTCCCAGACCAGCCTCTCATCTAAAAACAGTCCTGCTGAAACTGGTGTGGCTCAGTCGATAGAGCATCAGCCTACGGACTGAAGGGTCCCAGGTTCGATTCCAGTCAAGGGCATGTACACTGGTTGTGGGCACAACCCCATAGGAGGCGTGCAGGAGGCAGGTGATCAATGTTTCTTTCTTATCGATGTTTCTAACTCTCTATCCCTCTCTCTCTAAAAAATCAATAAAATATATTTAAAAGAAGAAAAATGACAGCGCATCTCTCAGAGCAGATCTGAGCCAGCACTGGCAAGTACTGCTCAGGGAACATGGCTGCCCACACTTCAGCTGGGAAGTGTCACAAACCTGCGGAAACACCCGCCTTTCATCCACTCGCCCCCCCTCTGACCTTCTCCCCGCCGGCGGCCGCCAGCACGGTCTTGGTGATGTACTGTTCAAACAGCAGGACCAGGAGGACCCAGAGGAACCGGCCTGCGCCGAGGGTGTCCAGGAGCTGGGCCAGCACCGGCAGGCGCCTGTGCTCTGGCACGTGTGGCAGCGCGTCTACAAACACACGCATGATCTTCACCACGATCGCCTCCACGTTTCTCGTGACTTCCGCCGAGTCTCCGCCGTCAGACTGCAGAGCGGCAAGCAGGGTCAGCGGGGGAACTAACAGCCCCCGCCCATCAGGCTTCCAGTGGCAGGACAAGGCCTTTCTGTGTGCCCAGCGCTACTGAAATCACTTTAATAATCAAAGGCTGATTGGGAAATATTCGATAAGGGTAAGTCAGATCCCAGGCACTATCTGGCCCTGAGGGGAATATAAAGTGTAGGATTCCAGCCCTGCCCCAAAGGAGACTCATCAGAAACAAGATCCCGGGGTGAGGAGGGAACAGGAGGCACTGAATGGCACACCCCAATGCCAGGCACTGAGAGCGAGTCTGCTTGAGTAGAGCGGGTACAACTGAGAGCACAGAAAGGCCATGAGCTCCTGCTGTTTCAGAATCAAGTTCAAACCACTCCTCTCTAGTATGGGTGCTCAAATCAAAGCTGTTCAATGGATCGAAAAATGAATAAACTGCCAAAACCGGTTTGGCTCAGTGGATAGAGCGTTGGCCTGCGGACTGAAAGGTCCCAGGTTCGATTCCGGTCAAGGGCATGTACCTTGGTTGCAGGCACATCCCCAGTAGAGGGTGCACGCAAGAGGCAGCTGGTCGATGTCTCTCTCTCATCGATGTTTCTAGCTCTCTATCCCTTACCCTTCCTCTCTGTGAAAAAAACAATAAAATATATATTTTTTAAAAAAATGAATAAACCAACGCCTTCTATTTCAGTCTCGATTCTCTGCTCCCCACAAACCAACCACATTACACTCTTCACACCGCGCACCTTCCCGCTGTGCCTCTGCTCACGCTATTTGACAACACTGCCACTTCCTGGGCAAATCCTGCACTTTCCTACCAACCACGTGGTTTCTTAGGAAACTGTGGTCAGCCTGGCCCAGGAGGGCCTGTCCCTATTCTGGACTCTCCAGCACTAACCTAATCTATTGGCATGTACAACGTCAAGGCAGTTTTTCTTAAGATATAAGACACACATATGTGTATGTGTCGTGTTTCACTAACGTGCTGGAAGCAGAGAATACCAATCTAATAGCAAGATTAAAAGGAGACAGTGTGGATACGGTCATTCCCGGAATGGTCAGTCAGTGACCTAAGATACGACCAACAACGATGGAGGTAAACAGAAAACTCAAGGAGATGACCAACCTCTTTCATCTGCGAGGCCACTGTTCAGTTCAAATGGTCCATCCTTACAGGCGGACACTAGTCTCCCCCTCGTCTGAGCGCTTACTCTCAGAGAGCGTGCGCCTGTCTGTGGAGGTGCACAGTAAGGCTGCCACTGTAGCTTTAACGCTTCATCGACCTACACAACGGCTATTACCAAACTGATGACATGTCCTGAAATACACAGTAAATGTGCGTTCACTTTGTCAGAATACAGTCAAGGCGCTTTCCCAGGACGCATATTTATTCGTATTTTGGAAAAGACATCATTTTCAGGATTACTCCTTAGCTTCCTCGTCTACGATTTAAGAGGCACTGATACCTGAGCATTTTAGCGAGGCTGGTAACTGCCACTCATTTACTGCTATAATACTCTTAAGTTGATAGTATGCAAAATTTTTAAAAAATGATACTAGCAACGGTCTAAAGACAGCCTACCTGAATAAGCGCTGGAATAACCATTTTCACTGTCTTGTTAATAACTTGAAAACTGTAGGTATCATCTAGACGCATGACGTTGGCTCCCATAAATGTAAAAATAGACATGATATTGTGTAGAACTTTATCCTGAAAAAGAAAATACATTTTCAACATTTTCTATTTTAAACAAATCAAATATCAATGATTCACTACACCTCAACAGTAAAGAGAAAAAAACTCAGTTTTAAAATGTGCAAAGGAGCCAAAACCGGTTTGGCTCAGTAGATAGAGCGTCGGCTTGCGGCCTGAAAGGTCCCAGGTTCGATTCCGGTCAAGGGCATGCACCTTGGTTGCGGGCACATCCTCAGTAGGGGGTGTGCAAAAGGCAGCTGATCAATGATTCTCTCTCATCAATGTTTCTAACTCTCTATCCCTCTCTCTTTCTCTCTGTAAAAAATAAAATAAAATAAAATGTGCAAAGGATTTAAAAAGACATTTCTCCCATTCACACATGAAAAAATGCTCAACCTCATTAGTCATTGGGGAAATGCAAAACCCACAAGACACCACTGTGTACCCACTAGCCTGTCCAGGGAGGAGAGAAACACCGGGAGTACTGGCTGAAGCCCTGCGCAGGAGAACTTACAGGAAATATCCCGGCCACTGTCCCCAGAAGTAAGAGGGCGTGGTGGTGGGTCTGAGGCATCTCGGAGACTCGGATGCACTGCACGATCAATTCCACGTTGAACTTCTCCTCGTCCAGAACGTCTGTGATGAGGAGAAGGACCCAAGCTGTAGGCGGCAGGCACGGTGCTACCCGAGGTGGACAATCTCCCAGCTTCCCCTCAACCAAAGCACGCGCGTACCTTTCGGTATTTTGCCGCCGTCTGGAGAGAGCTTTTGGCAGATGTTAAGCAAACAGCTGAGAATGAGCTGTTTGGTGTACTCCATGTTTCCCTGCTCCGGAGGCAGAGGCTCTAAACACCTGCAGGATCCGGAAGAGGACGGGATGTGAAAGCGGAATCAGGTCAGTCAGTGACACAGCCATGACCACAGTCCAGCGCATGTATTAAGTAAGAAATGACTGAGACGTTAACATTAAACATCAAGTGAATACACAGGATGGAAGATTTAGAAGTCTAACTTCTTTCTCATGCAGGCAGCTCCTCCCTATTGCACTTCCTATCACCCTGTGGAGAATCATACAATTGATTTGCCTTTCAGATGAAAGAACACATCCACAATTCAACGGCATTCGCTATGGCTCTCTAGCTAATAATTTACACCTAAAATATAGAGTGAGTGTCACCTTGTATCTTTATTTATTTTTATTTTTTAAAATATATTTTATTGATTTTCCACAAAAAGAAAGGGAGAGGGATAGAAAGTTAGAAACGTCGATGAGAGAGAAACATCGACCAGCTGCCTCCTGCACACCCCCCTATCAGGGATGTGCCCTCAACCAATGTACATGCCCTTGACCGGAATCGAACCTGGGACCTTTCAGTCCGCAGGCCGACACTCTATCCACTGAGCCAATCCGGTTTTGGCTCAACTTGTATCTTTAAATACAAGCAATGCTGCTCTGGGGACACAGCACTGAAAGGAGGAGAGTGGACCCCAAGGCCAAGTGGCCACTTCCTGCCCAGCCCAGGGTGAAGGTCAGTGCGGGCACTGGCAATGGATCCTAACCCATCCTTTTCTTCTTTCTGACAGTTCTTAACTTGCTCTGTTTTACAGACCCGCGAAGCAGAAGAGTGTGAATGAAAATAAGATGAGGAGGAATCAGAATCCCTTCTCTCCTGGACCAAAGGCAGGACCGTTACCTCGACAGCAGGTTGAAAAGCGTTGGGATTAGCATCTGAGGGTTCTTGAGCTTTTTTTTGTGCTGCAGCAATTCCAGGATGAGGGTTACTCTTTGCCAGGAAGAACCGCCAACGTCCTGAACAGATTCTAGATCTTGTGATTTCCTGGGACACAGATGTGACAAACGGTTGGAAAAGCAGATACTACGAGTGCTAAGAATAAATACACCTGATTCTGGAGCAGCATGCTCCCTGCAGTGACAGCTTACTTCTGCTGCATCTTCTGCCTCCTGGTTTGCTGAATCGTGCCCAAGGCCTTGGTTTTATCTGGTGGCTCCAGTTCTATTCTGACTTGCTCAGCGTTGACGGAAATCTGAAACACGGAAAAATGTTGACGCCACGGCTCACGGGATAAAATTAAAGCAATGAACGTTGACTAAAAGAGATGCGATGAAAACTCTGTTCACTTTTATGTCTCCCTATGACTCTGGAGCCCAGGTGAAACCCCAAAGGCAAACACCACTGACAATTTCTTACGTATTTTTGAAAATTTGTATACTGACAGCTGTATAAAGATGGAAAGAATAAAACCAACAGGAGCATATGATACACACTGCTCTGTACCTTCATTTGTTCCACTTAATTTGCCTTAGAAATCCGAGTAAACTCACGGTAAATTCTGAGAATGCTGAGCACAGACACGAATGCTTCCCAGGCCCTTACTCTCTGTACATGTCACTTCCAACAACAGAATAACTAGTGCTTATTCTGATGTAGCCTGGGTCTCAGTGGACACCCAAACCGACACGCAAGCTCTCAACGTCATTCCACATGCATCATTAGACAACACTGAAGTTAGGCAGAATGAGCTGTTACCAGTAAACTCCAACTAACACACACTTGCTCCCTGGTTAAAACCACAAATATTCCAGACACTAAAATCAACAGTGCAGATTTCTAATTCTGATTTAGCACTTCTCTATGACTGACTTTTCTGAGGGTTTTGTTAACGGTACACACTGGACTTCCTAAAAGCAGTGTGCATGGAGGACGCTTCACATGGTGTTCCTTGGAAGAGAACAAACATTCATAAACAACTTACCCCTTTAAAAACACTGCCGACAGTCTGAGCACACTGGGCATTTTTACAGTTCACCAGTAAGTCAAACAATGTGCACAAGAGCTTCTGCTGAACTCTTTCGTCTGAAACAGCGGCAAAAAATGGCTTTGTAATCTAAAGGAAATTTAAAAAAAAAGGAAAAAAAAAAAAGACCATTGGGGTCAATGAGCAAACTTGAATCCCTAAAACTTTCTTTACATCATTCTCTTACAAATGTAAAATTGTCCCCAATTTTGTCCGTCAAAATGCAGTACTTTTTAATGACCCGTGTACATCACTGTTTGGCAAAGTGGGTCAGATAAACCATGTTCCTTTAAAACCTGTCCAGTCCACTTCGTCTCCTCCAAGGAAAACATCACCCAGTTTTAAACGCTGGGATGTGCTTTCCATTCCGAAAGAAGTCACCGACCTTCTCCAGGGCTGTGATCTGAACGGGTGGCATGCCCGTGCAAAGCTCCTCCGTGGTGTGCACAGCTTTGATGAATATATCTAGACTCTTGGGGTCCTTATGCAAAAGCGAAGCTGAATATTCATTATATTTTCCCAGAATGAGGTGCAGAACAGTGGCCTCGTCTTGCAGGACAGCCGCGGGCTCCTTCTGGATCTTGTCGAGCAGGTGCTCCGCCATAGGCAGCAGCTGAGCAAGCACCATCTGAAGTGCGGAAAGCTGGTTAGTAAACAGTTACCACGTGAGCACAGCTTTAACAAAGATCTGCAAAGATACCCTGTGGGAAGCCTGCGAGCTCAGCCTGGAGAAGACCCCCAATAATGATGTCCTCGTGGACACGGGATGACTCACCCCAAAGAAGCACTCAGGTCCCTTCTATAGTTTAGTCTACAATGAATGGTCAAAAATCTCCCTAGCCAGTTTGGCTCAGTGGATAGAGCGTCGACCTGCAGACTAAAGGACCCCAGGTTCGATTCCGGTCAAGGGCATGTACATTCCTTGATGCAGGCACATCCCCAGGAGGGAGGTGTGCAGGAGGCAGCTGAATCGATGTTTCTCATCGATGTCTCTAATTCTCTATCTCCCTTCCTTTCTGTAAAAAAATCAATAAAATATATTTTTTTAAAAAAGCTCTAAACCCTTCAGAGATCAATGGAGAAACCCAAGTGTCCCAAGACTTTCTGAAAACAGGAAATACAAACTAAACTGAAGTTATGGATTATCAACATACATTTTAGCGTTTTCTAAAACACTGAACCTTTTCTGTAAGTGTTTCCAACTTGATATAATTAATATTAATGCAAATTATGTATGTAAAGGCTTTAACTAATGCCAGAAATATGGCTTCTCCCATCTGTCCACATACTGCCTCAGCCGCCAACGCCACAGAAGGCAGGCTGAGCGGCTGTCCGAGACTGTACAGCCTGCAGGGCCTAAAATGTCACTACTGGTTCTTAATAGACTAAGATGGTCAACTCCTGTTTAAATTACACCTGGGAAGACACAGAGCTCATAAATGCCACGTGTGCTCCCACCAGGAAAACAGTCAAATGGGCTTTCACCCTATTCCACCGTTGGTACATCTCCCCGCTGCAGTCACCCTGAAGCTGGGGAAGCCCAGGCACTTGGACCCCAGGACGAGGGAGCGGTGAGAGCAGCGCCCCCATCACATCACCAAGGCTCTGAACCCCTTATCTGTACACAGGTTTCCTTGACAACATAATGCAAGCTGTGGATTTCCACCCGTAAAGAGTACAGCTTGAAATAGTGAGCAAATGGTTTGGAATCGTGGGGGTTTTACACCGGAAGTACAGATGCAAGCCAAGTTTTTCTGCACCGATGTGTTTCCCCATGTGATTTTAAAACTCATTTAAAACAAGCCAGTGATTAGACAGGGATAACACACAATTTTAAAATGGGAAGAAACGCCCCAATATGTGCTTTTGGTTTCCTATGTATTTCTCTCCACCACGATGCTTCCCTCCCCAGATTAGTAAGGAAATGTTCATTCTGAATGCGTGCATGTGATTCTGCCCGGCCTCGCCATGACACCCCAGGGGATCCAGTCCACTCACCTCACTGTTGACCCCCTGAAGCACTTTCAGCAGATCTTTTGCAACGTAAGATGGGCAACTAGATACACAGTAAAGCAGGTTTTTTAAAGTCTCGGACAACTTCTGATGAGATTTCGTTTTTTTTCCTGTCTGAAGTTCCTCAAATAAAGTAGCCAAATCCTAGGGAGCCAAAAAGAAAATTGCACGAAGAAGAGTTAAGGAACTATAAAGGTTAAAAAGGTAGTAATTATGGAGGGTCATTTCTCATTTCCCCTGAAACCTTAACAGGAAAAGACATTGGTGCCCTATAGCTTACCATCAAAAGCCAGGCACTTGTCTGCTAGCAGCGGTCTTTAAAAAATGGGGGAAGGAGAATGTGCAAGTACTGACATGGCAGTTTCTAAATTCAGAGACTAAACTCACAATCCTTACAGAGCAAGTCAAGGATGGAGGACACCATCAGGTGGATGCAAGGCGCACGCGCAGCCTTCTGTGCAATGAGCTACCTGAATGACATAGGCGGCGTCCGAGGTGACCTCCTCGGCTTTGGGGATCACGTGCTCTATCACCGGGTGGAACAGGGAGGCCGTGGCCCCGAGGGCCTGCAGGCAGTGGACGGCCGCCCTCCGCACTTCCTTCACGGGGCTCCCCAAGTTAAGGAGAAGCGATGCCACTACTGGAAGCAGAAGGGAAAATGTCAATAACAATTTAAAGACAGAAAGCAGCATAAAATTTAAATAGTGCCCCCGAGTACATACACGATGAGAAGTCTTATTCCCAATGCAAACTCCCTCTCCAAAGACAATCCACTGTATCTGGTATTCTAGAAAAATCTTAGCCAGGTGCTGGTAAATTCTTTGGAAAGTATACAAATGAGAGCATAGTATGGACACACTGTTCTGCAGAAACCACCTCAAAACATTCTGGGAGTGTTTTCCACACAGAACTAAATTAAATTGTTCTTTTAAATTGTATAGGTCTTCCCTGATTTTCTGTATGTTTAAAAGTAGTACCTCACTGGAGAAAGTTTAGGTTTCTACACTTTTCACATAAAAACCGCTGCAAGCACCCTGTACACACATCCTTATACAACTGTGTGGAGGACGTTACCCATCAGTGCACCGTGCTTTACTGAGATTCTGTCCTGAATTGATGTTTACTGTGACTTTACTGGCCCGTTCCCGGAACTGAACCCGGACCTTCAATCCTCAGGCTAATGCTCTATCCACTGAACACCACCAGCTAGGGCTGACTTCTCTTTTCAATGCAGAAATTTTAGTTCAATACTGAATTGTATTATGATGGTTAAGCAACACATAGAAGTAAACAGATCCCACATGTACTATGTACAGGGAAGGGTGCAGGGCAGTCACAGCGGGGACATGACAACGCTCGGAAGTACCTGGGGAGGACATGGAGGCCAGCTGGGCTCTGCTCTGGGGCCTCTGCGAGGTCAGCACTGCACAGCCCACGTACAGAGCCTGAGTCTGCAGCACAGCCTTCACACAGCAGCTCAGTGGATTTGCAACGCTAGACCCGTAGGTCCACACAACAGAAAGGAACTTGAATAGCTGAGAGACATCTTCCAGATGCACCTGAATGAAAGAAACAGACAAAAGCAGTGACGCTTAAATTTTACTAAATTTAGATTGATTCCTAGTCCTTTTCCCTAGTGTACAATTGTAGGAAAAAAATATTTTATTACAGTATTTTGCTTTGTCTAGCCATTTACCCTTATTTATTCTATAGTTGGTATTTTAGCAAACTGGGAAGTTTGTAAATAAATCCAGAGGACTGATAGTCAGAGGACTCGCTATGACTTTGCACTTGAACACATTTAACAACAAAAAAAACGACCGGGTACTCTAAGCAGAACAGCGTGAGGAGTGACGTCAGGGAAGCCTCGCTAAGGAAGTTCTACAAAGACGGAGCGAATACCGTCCGCCGTGTCAAACGCGGCTCAGAAGGCAGGTCACTGGTGCCGTGATAGAGTTTCTCACCCGAGTGACTGAACACACTCAATCACCGGTCTGAACGTCAGTTTCTCGTGGGCAATGGCCTGAACCCACCAAGCAGACTGATTGCACGTGACCAGGCCTACGACGTGACATCGCAGGTGGCAATGTCAGTCTCGGTCAAACGCTGCTTGGCAAGGCCAGTGTTTACCATCAAATGCTCTTTGCTGTTTAAAAATCTACTTTCATTTTAACTCAAAACGGGCCAAGACCGGTTTGGCTCAATGGATAGAGCGTCGGCTTGGGGACTTAAGGGTCCGGGGTTCGGTTCCGGTCAAGGGCATGTACGTTGGTTGTGGGCACATCCCCAGTAGGGAGTGTGCAAGAGGCAGCTGATCGATGACTCTCTCTCATTGATGTTTTTAGCTCTCTATCTCTCTCCCTTCCTCTCTGTACAAAATCAATAAAAATATATTTTAAAAAAAAAACACGAAACAAACAAACAAAAAAATAACCGGTGCATCACTCGAAAGGGAAGAATACGCGTGAGAGGAGCCACGCACCTTCATGAACAGCTTCATCAGCACCCGGAAGTGCGTGCTGTCAGCGCCACTGAGGATGATCTCGAAGAGCCCGAGGAGCAGGCACAGGTAGTCTCTGCCGTCTTCCTCCAGGCACTCGGGGTTCCACCACACGCCACCTACACGCAGGCGACGAACGAGGCCATGCGTGACTTCCGGGAACACTGCTGGGCCCTTTCACTCAACACAAGCACAGGCGTGCATCCAAGAATTCCGTCCCCCAGGGTGTCACATTCAAATGGTTCCCACCTTGTCCTACCTTTGGGAAAGGATTTAGGCGCCTTCAGTGCATGAATGAAGTTTTTCAGCGAAAACAGGAGCAACACAGAGTCCTCCACGGCAATCCTCTGGGCAGTGCGAGCCTGCTGGATGTAATGTGCCCACAGCTGCACTGGCATCGCTCTGTCCAGCATCAGCTCGGAATGCCACTCCGGGGGCACTTCCTGAAATGGCAAGGCAACAAGAACAGCACAAATTTAAAGAGGCCAATAAGAGACACTCTTTTACACTGAGAACAAATACAGTCCAGGCCATAGCACGTTTACCTAACGTAAGAGGTTAAAAAGGGCCTGCCGGGGCTAACTTTTTAAAATGTAAAAATTTATTCCTTAAGTTCACATAACTTATAAAATCCTGAGGGTATCTGTCAATGTGAAAAAGATGTAATTCATTTGGAGGACAAATAACAACAAAATACTATTATAATAGATAGGGAAGACATTATTTTTGTTGTTTGTTTTCATTTTGCTTTTTTTTTTTTTTTTGTCTGAAATTTCTATAACCTTGCTCCGGATGCAGCAGAGCAAGGCCTCAAACCGTTCCAAAATGTTCTCGCAAGCTCTGTAGGAATGCACAGGGTCACCCCAGACCCAAGCACGCTGGAGGCTTGCAGTGTAGGGCAGATATCAAAAGAAACAATCTTATTACCGCAAGATGTGATACTAATAAACATATAAACTACCCTGTTTCCCCGAAAAGAAGACAGTGTCTTATATTAATTTTTGCTTCCAAAGTTGCCCTAGGTCTTATTTTCAGGGGACGTCATATCTTTCCATGCGCTAGGTCTTATTTTCGGGGAAACACGGTAGTAGTAACTTAGTAACACTCAGAGACAGCAGGAGGCCTGTGAGGGCCAAGTCTAATAGAACACAGAAGGTCTATTTTCAGCAAACGGAGCACGAGGAGTCTTTTGCTCAAGCAGGGGCACATGCTGTGAATTCACCACCACGACAGGCAGTCAGGTACAGCTTAACCGATTACCTACCCAGTAACTGACACAGACACAACACTGCGCCCCTGAAATCTAGAATTTTCTGCAAAAGGGAGAGAGCACCGGGTCCACTCTCTCCGGCTCCAAGGCTGCTCCACACTCCCTCCAGCCCTGAGCACCCAGCACCTGCGCCTCCTGATGGCCAGGCCATGTGCTCCTCCACCCATCATGCACTGCGCCTCCTTACCACGGCAGTCATGACACTTTCCAGCTTCTTTATTTTCTTCTGCAACAAACTGAAGACTCTTGTCGCAAATGCAAAGTGAGTTCCTTTTGAAGATGAGCAGCAAGAGACGAGCACGGCCATGATCATGTGGAAAGTCACCTTGTGCTTCAGGCTGAAGGACTCCTTTTCCCCAACGCTGATCAAGTCCTCCACCTTCAAAAACAAACAGGGTCCGTGACCGGTGGCTCTTGGTTTGCGCCCATTTTCTCTACCTGAGGGCTATCTACGTATCGTGTTTTGCATTTCAAGTCAGATGACAAATATAAAGCGTGAAAGTGGCAGTAACTACTAATTTCTAATTATAAAAAGAATCTCAGAAATTATAATGAACATACCTGTGCTTGCCAATTGGATGTTTTTAAATCAAAAACCCAAATAACTTTACAAAAGTAAAACTTTGTGTATTGTCTACATCAAAAAAAAAATTTTCTCCTCCTTTAGATATTCCGCTATTTTAACAAAAATTTAACTTTAATATTTTAAATAAGTGGGGGGGAAAAAGGAAGTGAAAAAGTATACATTATTCTTTTTGGTCCAATATGAAATAAATCATATAAAATGTTAAGGATTTTTAATAATCTGCAGAATATACGATACAACACTGTATATGTTTAGAGCAAAACAAATGACTCAAGAATGCAAAAGATATTAATAATAAAACAAGTGGAAAAAAAAGAAGAATCTAGAAAAGCAAATATGGAGAATCTAATAAGATTACAAGAAGGAAATCTGGGTGATGAACTTCAACAGCGACCCACCAGCTTTAACCCTGAAGAAGGATCCCCTGACTTTATATTGTCAGCCAGCAAGTCAATCATCTTCTGATTTGCTATACCAATTAGTTTGCCGGATTTTGTGCTTTTAATCACATTTTCAAGAGCTGGAAAAAAAAATAAAAATAAAATTTAAGCACAGGGCCCTTACGCCACCAATACTCACCTAAAGAATCATGTAGAGTAAGGAACGTGAGGAAAAATTTTACTATTTTCCCATAAAGGTTTGTTTTCTATTTTTCCTTTTATACAATTCTGAATTTGTGAGTCACTGTCTTTCTCATTGTATATATTCTATCTCAGCAAAAACAAATTTAATCTTGCTGACACATACAATAAGTATGATTTCAAAGAACAAGTACAGCCAATTTTTAATTGTATTTATCTTCTTTTTAAAGTGTTTTCTGTTCATTTTTTTCTCACCTGCTTTCCAGCCTCTAAGCACAGGGTGCAGAGAGCAAATTCCCGACTTGGATAAATAAACAGCAAATTTCGTCTCGGCCGACTCCAGGTCATCGCTGTCAATGACCATGAACGGAAGCAGATGCACCACCACCTGGTTAGCCAACTCCTCGTTTCCACTCAGTATCTCTTCTTTACTCAGTATGTCTGCGGCCACCTCAAGGACCTCATACCTGAAACGTATCAAAGCACTGGATCAGAGACACCTTAGAGACTTCAATTCAGCAAAAAAATCATTCCATTGTTCTATAATAGCTCCAGTGACTTCCTAGTCTCCTCATCAAATATGTTATTCAGAAACACCAGGATGGTCACCTAAAATCCATGCTAATAAAGAAATTATTTGGGACAGTAATTTTAAACTAGCAGTCAAGCTTTTTTTTTTTTTGAGAAATCACATTAGGTTAATATAAAACTTGTCACAATGTATATCTTATCTCCACTAGAAAACAGAAATTCATTTATGAGTTCAAAAATTCTCTGAACACATTCTATGTGCTAAGAATCGAATACGATACAAAACCCTGCAAATAAGTTCTCTTTCTCTAAGGAGCTGAGTGGTTGAGTATCAATGCATGAACCAGAGCCGACGGTTCCATTCCCAGCCAGGGCACATGTCTGGGTTGTGGGCTCGATCACCAGTAGGGGGCACACAGAAGGCAGCCAATCAATGATTCTCTCTCATCACTGTCTCTCTCTCCTTCTTCCTCTCTGAAATCAATAATAATAATAATAATAATAAATTACACCAATTCAAAAGTGTATGAGGAGAAAGGAATACATACCACACCCTATGTTTGGAAAGTTCTGCCCTTTGAAAGAGATTCAGAAGATTTGAAACAGTCACCTCTGGACTAAAGTGGCTCTTGAAAATCTAGGGAAAGAAATATCCCGAGTAAATTTTTACTTGCTGCAAGTACATCCGGTGCTTATTAAATAAACTTCAAAAAATAATGAATTACAAATAATTTATCTCCCAGGAATCCTAGTGTAATTTAAAGTTTTATGACAGCAATTTCTCAAAAACGGCATCCACCAGCCCATTTCCCATAAACCCAAGGTAAAATTCACAAAGTGCAATCTCATTTCTCTTAAGTGCTCTCCCCAACCAGGCTTACGTCTGTGCTCTCAAGAGAACAAATTTACAATGGAAGAATAATTTTCAATATATTCCTGCCTACAGCAGAGAATCACAGAAATTTATTTACCAAAAAATGTGCATTTCAATGAATAACAAATTCACTCACCTCAAAAGCACTTACTGCTGACAAAACAACGTCTATACTGTCATCACCTAATCGGGCTAAAATAGCTTCTTTTATGAAAGACTCATCGATGCTCTCCTGAGCAAGAGGAAAAAAAAAAAAAAGTATTTAGTTGTTGCTAAAACCTTGTAAGACTTACACTAGGAAGGAAGCTGGGTTTGTGGAAATCGCTCCGGAATGCAGACACCGACCACACGCTTTGCCCTGAATGCAAACGCAAACACCCTGGGCACGATGGCCTTGAACTACACGATCTTGAAAGGGCCTTTTGAGATGAGTTCACAATGAGGATAAAAAGATCACAAATGAAAGCTATTTGACACCCACCTTGGATGTTTTCATGACATTTTTCAGATGATTAACAGCCAGAAGTCTCACAGGAGCCAGTGGATGATTCAGACTGAGCATCAAGGAGGTATTGGAATCTGCTAAAAACTAAAGGATTCATCACAATTACCAAATGACTCACCACTAACCCTGAGCAGCATAGGATCTAGAATGAAAGCCAGAGAAAACCACCCAAAACTGCCCCACACACCAGTAACAACTATTCAATTTCAGAAACCGGAGAGTAAAGCAAAACCTTTGTCCCCAGAACATGGGATGGCTTATAACAGATGAAAAAATATGTTAATGCTCTGATTTATGCTTGTGTCTATATGTTGGTTTAACTTAGTAACACAACAAAGTAATTTTGAATTCTTTATATATATATATATATATATATGATTCCAAGGTGAAGAACATCTGAGGTAAGTCACTATTTTAACTCCTTAATGAAAATTAAATTTAAAAAAAAACTGATCACTGAAGACAGATGCAATTCCTCTAAATTATACAACAGAATAGTAACACTCCAATTACTAACAACCTACATCACTTATGTAATTAGACTAAAATAATCTGTATATCAAGCTAAGATTTAGAAATAAAAGATGAAAGTCTAATTATGAAGGAGAAAAACCAACGATGATGTCTCTTCATATTTATTTTCAAGGCTAATTGTAAAAGCTGCTTACATGTTTAACTTCTAGTATAAAGATTTAGGGTGAATCACCAGAAAACTTCTGAAGTTCTAACATGATCAAGAAATAAAAATCCACCTCCTTTTTTTCTGATCAATGACTCAGCCCCCTGGGTGTCTGTACCACATGACAAGTGCAGACAGAGGGGAAAGGTCAGAACACTACAAACTGAGGGAGGCCATCCTTTTTAAAAAAAATATATATTTTATTGTTTTTTTTTCAAAGAGGAAGAGAGAGGGAGAGAAAGTTAGAAACATCGATGAGAGAGAATCATTGATTAGCTGCCTCTTGCACACCCCCTATTGGGGATGTGCCTGCAACCAGGGTACATGCCCTTGACTGGAATTGAACCTAGGACCTTTCAGTCCGCAGGCTGACGCTCTATCCACTGAGCCAAACCGGTTTCGGGGGGAGGCCACCCTTTGGTGCCTACTAATTAGCATCAAATATAGAATCTCCAAATACTATGTTTCCTGAAATAAGTCCCACATTCAGTTCAAGTCCCGTACTTTACTCCTGATATTTAACCCGTCTCTTAGCCTTACCTCAATAATGAGGCAAAATTGTAAAATCTCATCTCTCCATAAATCACTCCAAAGAGAGGAGTGAAATAGCCCATTTCCTTCTGAGTTCTTCAAATACTCACAGATATACCCCAAACTGTCTCAGTTCCTCTGAAGGAAAACTCACCTGGTACTTCCCTCCACTTGTAGAAAGAGAGATAAACTGGTGAAAAAGCTCTTGTTTTTTTAGGTCTGTGATTTGCTTTAGGTGTTCCTCTAAGACAACATCTAGCGTTCTCGGATATCTGAGAAGAAATTCAAAGAGTTAATTCATATAAAAAATTATACAAAGTTATTAACCACACATACTCTGTATGTATCAAAGACATAAAAAGAAGTTTTAAAATTACCGAGCTTGAGACTAAAACTGTAACAGCTGGGATATGTAAAACCAATTGATTCTGATTAAATTTGTTCCTGTGATTTACTTACAACAAAAAACTCTCTCAATAAAAAAATTATCCTCTAATATATAAAATATAAATCCTATACTGCCCCTTCCTGAAGGGGGAAAAAAAGGACAGGCTCCGTACAATTCATTTACTATACTAACAGGAATCAAGAGGCACACATTTACAAAACAAGAGGCATGAAGACACACAACTTACTTGCTTTCTAAAAGTCTGATAAGTGGGAGAAACTGTTCATTAAGCAAAGATGCTTTATTAGGATCGATTTCTTCCTGTGAGTTATATGAAATATACTCTTCAAAAAGAAGGCTGCAAAACAAAACCATGAGAGTTATTGTTTGAGTACCTACCATATCCTAGGTGGTTTATTATATTACCTCTAACGCTCGTCACCTGCAGATAGAAAACTGCTCATTTCACAGATACCACACTAGGGCTAGGAAGTCTTATACCTGCCTGATGTCAAACAAGGACAGACACAGGCGCTGCCCTGGTGAGCCCCACGGTGCCTTTCCAAAGATGAGCTCCCAGTCTGAATCCAGAGCCCAGGCTCCCCTTACACGCATGCTCCCCTTCCATTCACAAGCCAATGCTGGGAGCAAGAGCAGGAATGAGGACCCATGTCACAAGGTCAAACCTAGATCTGGGCAGCCTGGCCTCCAGAACTGCCCACCCTACTCTCCTAGGGAAGACGGGGGAAGGGTTCAAGTTCGCATCTCATCGCTGTGCCTACATTCTTTGCACTGTATCAGGCTGCTCTTTCAAGCAAGAAAAGAAAATGGGAAACTAAACGATTTTTACAGAAAAGGAAGAAATGACTTTCACTTGCTATCAATCCTTCATAGGAAGTTTCTAGGTGACAGTTACTAAATACCAATTGTTTCAGGCATTTTGGTCCATCTATGTTTAGGAAACTAAACACATACAATTTATATGAAGCTATAACCAAATTTAGCTTAACTATTAACTTTTCATGATCAGGTATAAGCAAGCATTAAAGATAAGCAAAAGAAATTAGTTTTCCTGTTGTCGCTATTACTGGACTAAAATACTTATGATAATACAAATCAAAAGCATGTTTGAAATAACCACTTACCTAGCCAACAAATGGTCTAAGTTGTTCTTCAGTGATATGTGTGTAAGTATAGCTTCCAAGTGTTTCCTGTAGATTTGACCATCCATCCCTTCAGTTTCTTCTCCTTAATATATATGACAAGTTAAAATGGATTGTTTTTTTTGCATGCTTACACTATTATATCCACTTAGTTTCTACAGAAGAGCAGAAACATTTCTATAGGAATAACTTTAAAACATGTACACTATAACTTCACTTTTGGGGGTCATTTTTAAAATCTATTTTCAAAATTGTCTTTTTCCTATTTTGTCATTTATATTTTTCAAAGCATTTCTGCATATACTACCCTCATTTATACTTTACTTAAAATTCTCTATATTTTTAAAAAGAAGGATGATCATGCCTACCTCTTTAATGAAACAGAAATCCAAAAAACTGTCTTTCTCTAGATCTCATTACAAGTAGTTGAAGTTGGGACATGAACCTAGATCTCATCTCATTAAACCTTCCCTTGAGAATATGTATGAAGACCCCCAGTGAATGCCTGAAACCTTGGATGGTACCAAACACTTTATATACAGCATTTTTCCCCTCTTCATATATATCTGTGATGAAGTTTAATTTATAAGTTACACAAAGAAGGAGATTAACAACTAATAATAAAATAAAGCAATTAACCGAGTCGGCAAGGCTCAGTGGTTGACTACTGACCTATGAACCAGGAGGTACCGGTTCGATTTTCAATCAAAGCACTTGCCTGGGTTGCAGGCTCCATCCCCAGCAGGGGGCGTGCAGGAGGCAGCCGATCAGAGATTCCCTCTCATCATGGATGTTTCTCTCTCTCCCTCTCCCTGCCTCCCTAATAAAAATCTATTTAAAAAGAAAAGGTACGAGCATAGGCATGGCTCCTATTTTAAGAGAATTAAGTATTAGAAACATGTTCTGATACATAAAATGTAAAACCACATACCTGTAACATGATTAATGATGGAGATGACCAGATGGGGAAGCATGTACCGCAGAAGAGGACTGATGTCGTATGTTTCGGCAATCCCATGCAGTGTTGTGATAAGATCGGGAACATTGCACAAGTGAGGAAATGGCCTTTGGAGAAACAAGAACAGAAGGTGTTGACTTTACAAGTTACACAATAAATAGCACTTTATCCTAAAAATAAAAAAAATAAAAAGAGATTCAAAATAACATCTAATTATCATTTCTCGACTCAAGAATACGTACTTTTTCCCCAGGCTCTCTGGCTTCTGCCTCTGCAGCAGCACTATCAGGCAGCCCAGTCCCTCCTTGATCAAAGAGGGTGTTTTCGTCAACGTTTTGATGATCTGTGAGGCCAATGAGCTGACGATGGTTTCTTCCATGGTCACTTTCACCGCGATCTGACAGATTATCATGTACGTTGCAGCTCTGTAATCTGGTAAAGACGATTTCAATCCCTAAATATTTTTTAAAATATAAGGGAAAATAATGAACTGTATATTATTTTAGTCTACTTAAAATGTCACTTTACCTTGACAAGTTAGAAGTGCCATAAACTGCAGATTAATGCTACCTAATGCACACTCCTCGGAAGTGAAAAAATCAAGATTGCCGACCCCTCCCTCTCCTGAGTGGACACAGACAAGGCAAGAGGAGGGACCTCAGGGGTCTCCCACTCCAAAACCTGCCACACATCCTGCTAGGAGCCAAAGAGCTCTTATTCCTATGCAAATTCCCACCCCTGAAAGGGAGACTTCAATCAGAAACGGTGGGGAGGGGTAGCAGGGGGGGGGGGCGTCTGAGTGAAGACAATGATGGTGGGACAAGGTGGGAAGTAAAAGCAATACCTCCAGGGGCTGGGATGGTGGCGGCACCAAGGCAACTGGGAAGCAGAGACACTGAGCAGCAGGAGTCAGTGTAAACACAGTAATGAGCCTGTGCCATCAAGATTCGCTAACCTCTTCTCTCCCGGTGAGGTAACATGACTAAGAGAAGAAATGTGGGCGGGAAGACCACCACGTGAGGATGGGCGGAAACTGGAGTTAGGCTACCACGAGGCCGGGAGCACCAGGGCTGCCAGTAACGCCGGAAGCTGGGGGAGGCCTGCAATTCTCCTTCAGAGCTCCCTGCCAATGCCCTGATGTCACACTTCTAACCTCCAGAACTGCGAAAGGATAAATTTATGTTGTTTTACACGAAAACAAACCAACCAAAAAAAGATGGAACATGTATACTGGGGAGACACTAGCAAGGTCAAGTATCCAGCATTTGTTTTTTAAGAAGCCTTAATTAAAAGCCTTCTCTGGTTTGTAAGACCATAAAAAAAGTCATCTTTTTACCTCAAAGTTAAATCTCTGAAACTATTTTAGAACGTTTATGTCCAAGTTAAACATTTAAAAGCAAGAACATCTCTTCAAGTACAAAATAATCTGCTATACACTTGAGCAGGGCCGACCTTTTGGACATAGGGAAATAGCTTAGCAACTATATTGTCCGATAAGTCCTCAGCCGTCACCAAGGCAGACACAATGGTAGAAGCATAAAATGTTAAGAGAACCCGCAACTGAGCAGAACTCCCAGGATACTCAGCAAAAACCTGGAACAGAAGCACAAAGAAAACACATTTAAGGAGTGAAAGGCCAAGTTTAATACAAGTATAAAAACCTGTACAGCTCTCTTCAGCTCCCTCAGGCTAACACTTTAATTTTTTACCATCTGCAACATTAAATAAATACCCAGAATCAATGGTTCATGTGACAGTGACAAGGCTGACTGAACAGTCTTCCTGACATTTTTAGATTGTCTCTTTAAACTGTTTCAACAATCATTATAACTAGAATTTGGCAAGGAGTTAATTTTTGTAGAAAAACATCTTTTATCATGAAAGACTGACAGAGTGCTCACACTCCTGAACAGGAGGGGCTTTTACCAAAGGTACTTTTTCCAACCACCACTGTTACTGGGAAAATCCAATACATTTTCTCCATTCAGAGCAAGCAACCTTGTAACGGAATTACATACTCATGAGACAATAGACTACTCACCTTCACAGATTTTGTTACCAAACTGCAGATGAAATCCATGAATCCAAGGTCTTTGTAGCAGTGGGTAATCAGAGTTCCTTTAGCTAAGGGCACTCCAGATTGCTGTCAGAGACAGAAAGAACAGCCACTGACTGACCGTGACTTTGAATCCTCACCGGGCTATGTTTTTATAGGAAGGAAGAGGGAGAGAGAACATCGATTGGTTGCCTCCCATCGGGAGTACTGACTGGGGAATCAACCAGCAACCTGGGTATGTGCCCGGACTGGGAACTGAACCCAAAACTGCTTGGTGTACGGGATGACACTCAAATCAACTTAGCCACACCGAGCTTCATGTGGAAAATAATGAATAAATAGCAAAAGAATAAGCTCTGTTTCCTGTATTCACAACTGTAAACCAACTTTTGCCTCACCCTCTATGTAAATTGCACTGCCTGGCTCAGGTATAAATAAAACTCAGCTGTTATCCATCATAGTTTAAACAGGAAGTCAGGAAATAAAAGGGATGGAGGCAATACCCTCAGAAGCACTAATGACTTTGTTTTTCCCAAACTACATCTTAATCAGGATATGTACTGATCACAGATATGTGTCATTCAACAGTCATACCTTAACGGGCAACAACCAGAACCATTTGTGCTTCGGATTATTAATTTTTAGAAGCTGTATAACCCGCACAAATATTCTTGTCTCATGGTACGGGAGAACACAAGCTATGAGGCTGTCTTGATTGTACAGGTGGATGTGGAACCTGGGGGACAAAGCAAACAATATTCAAATAGACACAAACCTTACAAGCACGTATTTCCTTACATGTCCAGATTGTATGATCAATGAGCTAAAAATCCTCAGAGTGAATACCAGTAAAAACAATCACGTAATATAGGATACAGAGCGTTAAACACGGCCCTCTATTTGCACTGAATTGCTCAACACCGTTCAGCCCATTCCTATGTGGTAATATTTAAAATATTAATTATCAAAACCTGTATCCTAGTCACTTTCTCTCAACTTTGTTTTAACCTGCTTTAACATTAATATCCCCATGGGATTATGTTAATTAACAAACCATCAGAGGAGCAACCGGCCCGTCAGACAACAGCGCTCCAGGCCCACCCTTCACAGCTGCCTCAGCTTCCCTCGCTATCTTCATGTTTCAGTGTTCCATGGGTACACGCTGTCATCACTTAATATTTTTTTAAAGATCCAAGCTGTCAGTCCCTGATTATCTCTGTAATTCCGGTCCCCACCTGTGAATCAGCCACTCCAGGCACTTGTGTGCCGGCTTCAGCAGGAAGTAGGGGGACAAGTGGATGAGGAACAACGAGATGTTCTCATCCAGCTGCTTGTTCACGGCTTTGGTCTGCACGCTGCGCGCCAAGGTCTTGGCGAACTGGCTAAACAGCGGGGCTTCAAACTGCTCGAAGGAGGGATCGATACCCAGCAGCTCCTCCAGGCCGGTGCACCCTGGGGAAAGGCCGTTCCTTTAACGATCCTTTGCAAGGAGGCGAGGCTCACCCCGCAAAGAACTCTGAATCCTGTTAGTGTGCACAATCTGTAATATGGTCCCAAGGACAGATTCCTCGTTTTCAACTAGAGAATAAATAGCATTGCACCAACTAGGAGAACAAGAAATACTTCCTCAAACAGGCTGTGTGTTGTGTGTGTGTGTGTGTGTGTGTGTGTGTGTGTGTGTGTGTGTTAAACATCTGCTACTAGAGGACCCGGTGCACAAAATTCATGGTTGGGAGGGGCCCTCAGCCCAGCCTGCACCCTCTCGAAATCTGGGACCCCTTGGGAGGCTGTCCGGCCTAAACCGGCAGTCGGACATCCCTCTCACAATCCCATGACCATATTTTCCATACAGGTGAAAGGCATCTTGCTGTTGTACGGGCAGCTACATTTTTTTTTTTTTGCCCTGATTATAAAAAGCAGTACACAACACGATCCTTCTGGGGCAGTAGTGCCATTGCGCCCACCTTATGGGTGGAAAAACTGAAGCAGAGAGAAGTAACTGTCTTTGTCACACAGTTGTTAAGTGTCAGAATCAGGGCTGATCACAAACTGTGCAAGCCAGAGTCCATGCGTGTCATCGCTGCATCATCCTGTTTTTTTTTCAGTGTTAGAGTGGCCTTGACAAGGTTTAATTGAGACTGTTCCCAATTTATAGGAGAGGGTCCCTCGGCCTGGCTAGCAATCAGGGCCATCTATGGAGTGACCTGCAGGCCGGGCGATGTCCTCCAGCCACCACCCCCACGTCCCCATCGGTTGCAGAGACGCTCCTGCATTGAACGTCTCTCCCCTCCCCCCCCCCCCCAGCCAGTACACATCATAGCGAGCCAACCCTTTGTTCCCCTATTCAATTTGCATATTAGGGCGTATTATATAGGAAGATTAATAACTAGGCACTCAGTCCTCTGGAAAGACGGCTCCTCCACCCCAGCCACTGCCTCGGCCCCCCTGCGGCTGTCCGTCCTCTCTGTGCACTGGACGACCTCCCTAGCCCCGCGGTCGCATCCGTGCACTCGCATTCGTCTCAGATCCTCGCACACGGGTTGCCCTTCTCTTTCCAACAAGTTAGGAACGCTAGGGGCGAGAGGGGGCAGGTCCGGAGAGAAACGCAAGGAAATGCAGCCACATCCAGAAAGCCCGCGCGCTCACCGATGGCGAAGGCGGTGTCCCTGTCGACGGTGGCCGCTTCCTTGGGGTCAAACAGCAGCGAGGCCACTTCATCCCTGGACAGGAGGCTGGGGTCGCTCTGAGGGAGGGCGAGGCGCTGGAGCTGCTGGGCTAGGGACGTCATCTCTCCCGCGGGCGGGCTTCTGAGACACGGGCGGGCGAGGAAACGCACCCACCGTGAGCCGAGCGGCAAACGCCTCCCCTGCAGGCAGCCCCTCGCCCCCGGGGAGCCCCGGGCCGCTCCGTCCGGCGCCCGGACGTCCAAACGCGCGCTCCCCGCGCCCTGCCTGCCCCGCCCTCCGACCCCCGCCCCAGCACCCACTCACCGGGAGCTCGATTTCGGCGGGGCTCGGGTCGCAAACTCCTCACTCCAGTTCCCACATGGAGCCCAGGACAGCTCGCGACCGGAAGCCCAGCGCACGCCTCAGCGCTGCTTCCGGTTCCGGGCGCTACGGCGAGAGGAAAGGGACAAACTTCCTGGAAGCGCGAACGGCGGCTCCGCCTCCTGGCGACGTAGCCCCGCCTCCGCAGACCCGAACTTCCGGAAGCCACCCTCCCGAGGGGTTGGGCCTCTGCGCCCCGGTAGGCGGCAGGAGGTTCCGGTCGCGGAAACCTGTTGGACAGTGGATAGAGCATCGGCCTGCGGATTGAAGGGTCCCAGGTTCGATTCCTCTCTGTAAAAAAATAAATTAAATATATTAAAAAAAAAAAAAAGGGTTCCTTTCCCTGGATGAACGGACCGCCCAGTAGCACGCAAAACTAATGCAGTCAAAACTAATGCAGGAGCAGAGCCATTCATTGCAGGTATCTGTGCCACCTCCTGGTCCAGCTTCCTGGCTCATGGGAGGCCACTACTGAGCTTTCTTTTCCTTTAAATGCACCTCATTAGCCCGGCCGGTGTGGCTCAGTGGTTGAGCGTCCACCTATGAACCAGGAGCTCTCGGTTGATTCCGGTCAGGTCACTTGCCAAAATTGCAGGCTCCATCCTCAGTGGGAAACGTGCAGGAGGCAGCCGATCCATGATTCTTTATCATCATCGATGTTTCTATGTCTCCCTCTTCCTTCCTCTGTGACATAAAAATTAAAGATAGGACCAGAGCCCCAGGTCCCCCAATCCCATTTGGGTGCATTTTCTACTAAAAGCACCTCCTTGAGAGACCTTTCCCTGAATGCCCAGCTTCCTGCAGACGCAATCATAGCCCATACTTCTTCTTTAAAAAAAAAAAAAAAAAAAAAAATATATATATATATATATATATATATATATATATATATATATATTTCTTTATTGATTTCAGAGAGGAAGAGAGAGGGATAGAGAGATAGAAACAGCAATGATGAGAGAGAATCACTGACCGGCTGCCTCCTGCATATCCCCTATATTGAGCATCGAGCCCACAACCCGGGCATGTGCCCTTGGCCGGATTAGAACCTGGGACCCTTCAGTCTGCAGGCTGACGCTAAGGCCATAGCCCATATTTTTTAGGAAAGTATGCTTTACTGCTTTCACGAAGGCACATACATTTCTGAGCCTCTCGAGAAGCCATATACTACTCACCAAGAGTTTTTTCTTTATATAGTATCACCATCATCTTGAAATATTCAGAGTTACTATACTCATAGGACCCGTTCTGCCCACGCCCCTAGCCACTAATCCACAGACGGGATCGGAATGAATTTAGCTGTTATTCCACACTGGAGCAGAAGACCCAGAATTTCCAACCCAGCGCGCAAGGCTATTTGCAAACGGCAGAGGAATTTGCTATCAGGTTTCTTCATCTGTTCTAAGACCATCTCCGGCGGTCTTGCTCAACCAGAGGTGTTATTTTTAGCTGCATTTTGGAATTCACAATGCACTGCTACCCTGCTCTCCATCAAAGCAAATCAAAAATATGAACATTTCATTTGCCTTAGTACCTACAGCAATATTAGCTTTGCACATATTTATTTTTTAAGTTTAATTTTAGTGATTAAAAAAATGTGAAGGGCAGGGTTTTCAGATTTGAGGAATGCCCATATAACTATTGGTTATATTAATTTATTGATGATATGAATCACTAGTAAGTTGTATCAACCATTAATATATGAAGGGAGACATCAGAAAGTAACTCAAGGCTAGACTTTAAAAATAACATATTAGAGCTCAGCTGGCATAAGCCAACGGTTGAGCATGACGGATTGATTCCCCATTAGGGCACACGCCCAGGTTCCGGGTTCGATCTTTAATGTGGGGCGTGCAGGAGGCGGCAGATCAATGATTCTTTCTCATCATTGATGTTCCCATCTCTCCCTCTCCCTTCCTCTCTGAAATCAATTTTAAAAAATGTATTTTTTTTTTTTTTTTAAAGAATGAGCCGAAGCCAGTTTGGCTCAGTGGATAGAGCATTGACCTGCAGACTGAAAGGTCCCAGGTTTGATTCCGGTCAAGGGCATGGACCTTGGTTGCGGGCACATCCCCCTTAGCGGGTGTGCAAGAGGCAGCTGATCGATGTTTCTCTCTCATCGATATTTCTAACTCTCTTTCTCTCCCTTCCTCTCTGTAAAAAAAAGAAAAAAAAATCAATAAAAAAAAATTTTTAAAAAAAGAATGAAGAAGAAGGGAAAGCCTTCTGGTATGTGGGCTCTCTCTACTCCGTTGTCTGAGCGCTCGGGCCCCGGTCCATTCAGCGTACATAGTACGGGCTACGAGTGTCATATGAGGTTACAATACCTCCCACTCAGGCACCTCTTATCATCACTTCCCATCCCCGCTGGCACCCGGAGGCTCGTTTTAGCTGTGGGTCACGCGGCCCGGCTTGTCTACAGTGTCACCACGGCGATTCAGTGACCCTTTCCCCAATGACCGGTGCCCCCTCTCCAGCACATCCCGTGCATGTGACTCAGAGGCGGGGGTCTGATGAGAGAGAGGGTCCTTCCTGCAGCAAGTGTTTCAAAATGAACGTGTGGGCCAGGCATGTCCTGGGAACTGGGGGACCAGTCTGGGCATAGTGCTTGGGGAGCTGGGAGCCACGTCATAGTCCCCCCAGAGGAAATGACAGTAGAATGAGGGGTCTCTCTCTGAGAAGCAGGAACTCCACCGATGGCGCAGCCCGCAGCCCACCTGGAATGTCTGCTGGAGCATCTCCCTTGCACCAAGGCTTTCCTTTCATTTGCTATCCAGTCCCAGACGCATGAAATGTACCGAGGAAAATGCACGGAGGGAACCAGGGATGAGAATAGCAGGCAGTGGAACCAAATACTTTTTTTTTTCAGAGTAAAATATCCATAAATTTAATGTTATAAATAATCTGACGTGCCAAGAAGCCTACTGTAGGCCACCATGATATTCAGAACCCCAGCACACTAATTTAAAAATTACATGAAGCTGAAACCAGTTTGGCTCAGTGGATAGAGCGTCGGTCTGCGGACTGAAAGGTCCCGGGTTCGATTCCGGTCAAGGGCATGTACTTGGGTTGCGGGCACATCCCTGGTGGGGGGTGGTGTGCAGGAGGCAGCTGATCGATGATTCTCTCTCATTGATGTTTCTAACTTTCTATCCCTCTCTCTTCCTCTCTGTAAAATATCAATGAAATATATTTAAAAAAGTAAAAAATTACATGAAAAACTGCAAGCAAGTTATTGCTTACCATAAAGTCACAATTTTATATTCTCTATATAGACAGGTACATTTTATATCATTCAAAGCAACGACCCCACAGCTGTATTCTTGAGCTTTTGTCTGCTGTTTTAAGAGGAGAAGAAGAAGAAGAAGAAGAAGAAGAAGAAGAAGAAGAAGAAGAAGAAGAAAATGGTTCAGTGTGTCCCCAGCATGAGTGTGATGCCAGCTTCTAGAGGGAGGATGGTTTTACGGACTCAAGAAATGTCAGAGAGAGGAAGGGAGAGGGAGAGAGAGATAGAAACATCCACGAGGAGAGAGAATCATGCATCGGCTGCCTCCGGCACGCCCCCCACACTGGGGGATGGAGTCTGGAACCCTGGCATGTGCCCTGACCGGAATAGAACTGTGGTCTCCTGGTTCCTAGGTCGACGCCCAACCACTGAGCCACACGAGCCGGGCGGAACCAAATACTTTTAAAGAGCTGCTTGGACTTCACGGAATTTCCTTTCAATAATCCCCCCCGCCCGGGATCTTCAGAAATAGGTCCCGACTGTCCCTGTTGGGTCCTGCAGAGGCCCATACCGTGTGCCCCTTCTAACTTGAACACCAGGCCGGGCAGCTGTGGGCTCAGGCAGGGGTGTCTGGCAGAGCAGCTGCGGCTGCCAGGCCTCTGCAGGGTTAGAATAGTCACCAGCTGTTTCTCAGGAACGGAGACAGGGTGATCCATAGCCTCGCCTGCTAAATTCAAATGGAATAAAGCTCTTTCCTGCCCTAACCGGTGTGGCTCAGTGGATAGAGCGTCGGCCTGCGGACGGAAGGGTCCTGGGTTCGATTCCGGTCAAGGGCATGCACCTTGGTTGCGAGCACATCCCCGGTGGGGCAGCTGATGGATGTTTCTCTCTCTCTTTTCCTCTCCCTTCCTCTCTGTTAAAAAAAAAAAAAAAAAAATCAATACAATAAGTTTTAAAATAAATAAAAACAAAGCACTTTCCTAGCAAATTAGACCCGTGATGTGCAACCGGGGTGGGGCCGGGAGAACACTGGCTCCAGGGCGTTGGGGGAAGGGACCAGCAGGCAGAGTTTGAGACCTTCCTTCGGGGTGACTCTGTGCCCCCCTTGGGGACCCCGAGGTTTTCTGGGAAAACTGGGGGCCGGGGGAGAGCCGTCCAGCCTTGCCTGCATTTTGTGCCCACGATGCTGCCCGCTCTTGAGAATGGGGCTGGGCAGCTCCTAAGGAAGAGGATGGGGGGGAGGAGTCCTGAGTCCTGGCCCCTCCCTGGGTTGCCCTGGGAACTTTGCCACGCGCCCGAGGGAGCCGCTACAGAGGCTGGATTGGGGCACGGGAACGAGGTGAGTATAATTAAACGCTGACAACAGTTGACGGAGTGTCTTTAGAGGGTGACTTTGGATGTCATCACCATGCCTTCCATAATCGGGGATGTGTGCAGACACATGGCCACGCTGCCTGGAGCTGACGGCGCAAATGGGTGCCTCCTGCGGGCCCAGAACGGTCCCGATCCGGCCTG